TTTTGTTGACAATCGACTATAGTAAACACTATAAATTATGTTGTCAATATCATAACGTCAGATAACAGAATAATTAGTTTTATATTAATACTAGGCGCTCACCCTCGCTTCGCTCGGGTTCGCCTCTAGAAAAGCACAAACAGATCACGGGAATCGTTCATTTTACCGGGATAAAAAGTAACTTGTTGTTTGACCGGCAATATAAGGTATCAGCATGCCAAATTTTACTAAATTAGGTGCATAAGTTGTTGTGTACTAAGCTGTATAAGTTACTATAGTTTTTTAACTATGCCACTGGAACTCTTTAATTTTTCGGGATGAAAAGTATGTAAGATGCTGATCGGGCATATAAGGTACCACCATGCAAAATTTCATTTAAATCGGTCAAATAGTTTCGGAGATTAGCCCGTACAAACAGACAGAGAAACAAAAAAATTGAAAAAAAAACTGGATTTGTTCTATTTCTCTTCTTACATTTACTTTATACAATTTTTTTTCTATGTACAGACAGACATTCAACCTCTATAGTTTTAATATAATATAGATAATAAATATTAAATAACAACAGCATAATTTAAAAAAACTGTAAAATCTTTATATATAAGTAGGTACATGTGTGTATATCTTAAATTTACATTTTGAAAAGCAAAAGGTTAAATAAATTACATTATCGTTTTCATCGATAAGGGCGTCGTACTGTATAGAGCTCGAGTGAAAGTGTCGAGTCGTGTTAACGTTATGCGGATGCTTAACAGACGAATGCACCTCATTATACGCTTAAATCTTTAAAAACCACAATATTATAGTATAAACTAGCATTGCCCGCGGCTCTGCTCGCGTTCAGGTGGCCAAAAACCAAATTCTTAGGTTCTACATATAAGTTTACGCTTACAATTCAGTCTTCGTATTTTTTCTCAGAAATAAAATATTTTCTCGCGGTAAAAAGTATCCTATATGTTGACCCGGAGAACTAGCTATCATCATACCACATTTCATCAAAATCCCTCCAGTGGTTTTTCCGTGATGCGGTAACAGACAGTCAGACAGACAGACAGACAAAAATTCTAAAACCTATAGATTCGGCCTCTGTATCGATAATAATGTCTATTTCAATAAGATTTTCCAAAAAATATCTAATGTACAGATTCGGCTTAGTTACAATTTTATTATATGTATAGATTATGTATTTAAACTATACAGCTCATAACTTAAAGGAAGAACAAACTTGAAAGGACTAAATATATTATGATGAGCGTACCTATTTCAAAATATTGTTATTTTACTTCTAAAATAAACACAGGAAATGAAACTACATATTATTTCATCAGATATTCTGACTAATATTCCTTTTAATTAATATTGTTAAAAAAAAACAACAGTCGGGTTGAATTGCTAGTGTTTTACATAAACAGTAGATTAAAATGATATCTGGTATCTATGTGCGATTAGATATAATATGTATAATTTACGCTATAATTACAAAGCAAAAAGCCAACACGTATTGTTTAGTAAAACTTACGAGTTATGCGTTGATATAACAGATTTATTTATAGCATACTAGCATTGCCCGCGGCTCCGCCCGCGTTCAGATGACCAAAAACTAAATTCTTAGGTGTTACATATTAGTATACTCTTACATTGCAGTTTTTGTATTTTTCCTCAGAAATAAGATATTTTCCCGCGGTAAAAAGTATCCTAGGATCGCGCGCTACATCGCCCGGTTTATATAGCTTGAGCAGGCGGTCGAGCGATGCGGGGCAGAGGGGATGGACTCGCCGTAGGCATCTCAATGCTCGCCAAGCATTAAAAATGTTTCGCTACTAATTACTTCTAACAACGATATCTCAAAAACTATTCATCTGATTGATTTAGTGTAAAGAGCAATTTTAATCTGCATTAAATGACTAAGCTAACTAAAATATTCATTTGGATAAGGATTAATACCGAACTAAAGAAAATAACTTTGAAAATAACGTAATGTTTTTAATTAAAAATGTTAACATAAAAGTGGTTATTGTAAGTCAACCGTAAGAGATAGAGATATGCTATCGCGGACTTTTTTGTAGCATTTTTATAGATTTTGAATTCTCTAGTACATTACTTAACTGTATCTTTGCTAGTTTACGCGGCGTTCGCGTGGAAAGTTCCCATTTGGCGAGATTTTTTGCGACCTCTTCAACATTTGTCGCCGTATTTCAGCTAATTTACATAAAAGCATAATAAATTATATACCTAAACCTTCCTCAAGAATTACTCTTTCTATTGTTGAAAACCGTATAAAAATCCGTTCAGTAGTTTTCGAGTTTATCGCGTACAGACAGACAGGAGGACAGACAGGAGGACAGAAAGACGCGGCCGGGGGACTTATTTTTATAATAAGTATAGATTAATATATAGTTTAAACGAAGGTGATCTCATACATCGCGAGTCTGGTATAACGCGACAAGTCCACGAGTCACATTTCAGCGCGAAGACAAAAACGCTAGTCTTACGATTCACCTTGTTTCGCGTCGGGGGCAACGACCGGCACAGCTGTGAGCTGTATAAATAGTGCACACAAATATAACATATGTTTGTGTGTCGATGATGTATTGCACTATAGATTTTGTATGCATAATTTAATTCTGTTGATCTCTAGTTGTTTCGGCGAATGTAATGCATTCGACGAGTTTTTGAGATTGACTTTAAAGAGGTTTTAGTTTGGATGTTGTGGGTACTTTTTGTGTATGTAACGTGATATATTCGACAATTGTGAATCCATTTTCTTGTTTTTATGAGAGATTCCCTGTGAAAAGAATCGCTCATAAATTTTTTTAAGGATAAATTACACTCCGAACATTGGAATGATTATTATTTTTAAAGTGATTTCGAAGAAGTAGCAGTTTTAGTTAAAAAGTAATTATTATTATTATTACAAAATGAAACTGCACAATTGTATACAAATTTTAGTTTCTTTTCTTGAAACATTCGAACTTAAAAAGGTTCGAACTCATGTAAAACCAAGTTTGTGTTACTATATTAATAATATATAGAGCATAAAATTGTGAAACATGCAGATAAAACTGAGTCTTTGTCAACTACCTGATCGTTGATTGAACTATATATATGTAGATATATGTACAATTTATGTAATGGTAAATCATGAGGTGCAATGTATGTATAACAATTATTCAACAAACACCATTTTACAAGTCAATTCACGTGATGTGCTGAATAGTCTACTACGCAGAAATGAATGTGGGTCAATGTCCAAGCTGCATTCATAAATATTATCCATATACCGACAATTTTAATAGGAAATTTTTGAAAAAAGTTGCTTATTCGTCAGCATGACGTGTTATCAACAAAATGACTCGAGAAAACAACAGAATTGTTTATTTGTTATAATATTTGTTATCTGTATTTTTATTTATTAACAGTATTTCTAATCATTTACAATACAATTTAAATTTTAACAGTACTAGTTTTTTATTGTTAAAACTCTTTATCAGCTTCAATTGTTTCTAACTACCCACTGTGTAATCAAATTATGAATGGCGATTTTTAATCTTACTAATAACTTAATCCATCTAATGGAGAAGTTTCTATTTTTTATATATTATTTATAAAATATTAAGTAAGTAAAATATAACAAAAATATGAAAGATTTATTAAAATATCTCAACAAATGAATAAGTTATAAAACTTTAAAGTTGCGCTTGTAAGAATATTTCGTGACGTTACACGACCGAACTATCGAAATTTAAATTAATTTCTCAGTCAGTTAAACAGATTTCAAAGAAAAAACGAATTTATTAGTTTTGATGTATATTCCAATATAATTCCATTGCGTTAAATATGATATTAACAATATTATGAAACTTCTGCATCTTTACATTTAACTTTGTAACTATCTAAAATCCAGGTGAAAATAATTTGATGCCATCGAGCTGATCTGATGATGGAACCTGGTCTGAGGATAGTGGAAATCTTCAATGGCTACTTTAGTAGAGCCTTCAAGTTTGGACTCATTTGATTGTTATTACGAGTCCCATATTTAAGTTCTCTTTTATACCTATTCTAAAATAATAATTCTGCTACAAAATAAAAATATAAAATTAAATGTGGCACTCGGAGACTGCCGCGGTAAATCTATTGCATAGAATTTTTTATCAACTTATGCAATATTAATTATTTATTTAATTAATACAGTATTTTTTTTCCTTGACTTTCTTCATTAATAAATGCACTTTGTTTATTCATATTTAAAACACTTTGTACACAAATTATACGAGTACAGATATTCACTGTTGTACATAGATGATAAATACCTATACACCTATATACTTTCTCACAAACAGCTGATTACGGTAGTTTTCCAATACAACCAATGCCACCTAAAGGAGGGTTGCTGAACTAAAGAGACAAGCGTGATATTTCAAAAAGTCATTAAAAGTTCTGGTATTTATCGATAGATGGAAAAACTAAAAAGTATCACCGCTGTGCCGGTCGGAGTGGGGGGTGTCAGGTTTTTTCGTTACGGAATTTCTGGATTCGGTCCCCACGCTCAAGGCCCGCGATAGAAGCTATGCAATAGCTTAACATGAAATATTTTTAAAGTAAAAACTTCTATAGGCAGGTTTGGATGGGGAGTAAATTCATGTACATAAGTCGTTATCGACATGGTCACGTGACGTGTTAACGCTAACTCTCAAGAGTGCCAATAGTTGTCAAAACCAGATAAATGTAAACAGTTTTAATTTACAAATTTTAATTTAAGATTAAACAATTAATTTGATTATCCAAACAAAATAACTGTTTGTTTATATGTAGTTTTAAGTTTCATTTCTGTCGGCATTATGTTGGCAGTCATTAGTGCTCTTTTTTTTAATAAGTACTTACGAGTATTTATTACAAATTAAAAGCTCGTATATACTTAAATAAAATCATAAGAGTAGGTTATGCTAATAACAACCTTAATAGTGACACATAATAATGGTTATTTATATTTCCTTTTTCAGATCACACCAGAAACAAAGGAGGAGACATGAACGCGATTAGGGGTTGTCATTCTCATCAAGCAGGGTAGCTGTCATCGAAAGGTAATAATTAAATTATTAATAAATATACATATAAATTAATAATAATACATTAGATCTAGATAAATATAAGCGAATTGGAGATTTTCCGATTTGGTTTCAATGTTATTACTATTTACAATATTGATAAAAAACTTAAATAGAAAAGTATCATTTTCCTAAAACACTATTATAATACACGTACATACATTGTAATCTATACATATAATAAAATTGTAACAAAGCCGAATCTGTACATTAGATATTTTTTGGAAAATCTTATTGAAATAAACATTATTATCGATACAAAGGCCGAATCTATAGTTTTTTAAATGTTTGTCTGTCTATCTGTCTGTCTGTCTGTCTATCTGTTATCGCATCACAGAAAAACCACTGGAGGGATTTTGATGAAATTTGGTATAGTGATAGCTGGTTATCCGGGTCAACATATAGGATACTTTTTACCGCGGGAAAATATCTCATTTCTGAGAAAAAAAATGCAAAAACTGTATTGTAAGAGTAACTAATATGTAAAACCTAAGAATATCGGTTTTTGGTCATCTGAACGCGGGTGAGGCCGCGGGCAATGCTAGTATAATATAAGTAATAATACAATATGTAAATCAATCAATATGACACAAAGAGAAAACATTGTTAAATAGAACTCTATAGCAAAACATGCCACGGAATGGAATCCTAACAACTGTATAACATAATTACACAATCGTATACAGTCAGTCTTAGGTACACGTTACTCGTGCGAATTGAAACAAATATGCGAATACTATGTAGTGTTTACGACGCTTTAAATCTATTTCTGTAAGTACGCTAACAAATGAACGTTTCACAAGATGCAAATGAAAAGCGTAAAAATCTTTAACTTTAAAGTTTGATGAATAAAATAAATAAATTCATATGTACATAGGTAATGTAAGTACATAGGTATTAAAGTAACTGGTAACATTTTATTTTAATTTATGCCGGCATATAAAGCTTTTGTTATATCAGAATGCAATATACAGGCAATACAAAAGAGGGATAAAGAGGTTTCTTATGTGAAAGCGAAACTAACAAGCAGACTTTCGCACTTATATTGTAGACTCGTATTTAGTAAGGAATAACGTCACACGTGAATCGATTAAACATAATTAGTAATAATGACATCTAAATATACTATATAGAAGGGAAAGGTCATTGACTCATTGACTAAACCCAAAATTTCGTAAAACGATGTGAAGCTGAAATCTGGCTGTTAGGTAGTGTGTAAGTAGAAGACTTCAGTTAATCCCCCCAGGACCGCGGACACGCCGGCGTTACAGTTAACAATAGATTTCTTAGAAATTTAATTAATTTCTTAGAAATTTACCTGGAGGTGTTAAGAACGGACTACGCGACAAGAGCTTTGAAGGGGGGGAAGAGCTTTTTTTCTAAATCCACTAATAGCGCTAGTTAAATTGTTTTATTGTGTACTCTGCATTTATGATTATAATATAATATTTATGATATACATGTGGTTTATATTAGTATACGTAGGTATAGATAAATCCGGGTTTACGCATACGGGCCGTCTAGGACCCCAATCGATCGAAGGCGGTCGTCACGGAGATAGCTTCGCTCAACTATTGATCCGCGAATTGCTGCATAAAATTTTTAATAACATAGTAGTAATAAGTACACATACAAAATATGTACACATTATTTGTTTTTGTAAAATGTTTTCGATGCGATAGTTTATTTTTTGTTTATCTAAACGAGACTTGCTTATCTAAACGAGATTGAACGTCATATCCTGGCATTCTTTATTAGCAAAAATTGATTGTCATTGATACGTCAGATAGCATATGTTCAGTATATACTCGTAATAGGAAAAGATAACATTGACATGCTTTATAAGGTCGGTAAACTTTTTAGTAACGTCTCGCGGAAGTTTTTCCTTGTGTGCGTAGTGCGTGTAGGATTGTTCTAGCGGGGGCGAGGAACGCTCAAGGGCAACCGACGGGTAACGACCCCTTCACGCAACTTAGGTTCTTCGTACCATAAAGTATGCTGATTGATTATTATCGACTTCACAACTAATTTCGTTCATGCTCTTAATTTATATATCGATAATTTAATTTAAATGTGATGTTATACATAGTTTCGAGTGTATTGCCATATTTTATAAAGGCAATGAAAGGGATCATACTTTATGAACAAGGATTTTATTATAAATAAGCGTATTTAACTCACAACGATCGCAAGATCAATCGTTTTTTATTCAGATTTTATTTTGAGATATTATTTATAACTACGACTGCACGAATTTAGCCCGCTTTGTAACACTATTTCTCACTACCACAGGTTGGCTGGAAGAGATCTCTTCTAGAGATAAGTCCACCTTTGTAAATAACAACTGATTTTAAATTACTGTATTGTTTTTTTTTAAAGTGCAATAAAGAATAGTATAATAATCACACTATACGCATTAAAATGAAAGTAGATTCTTTATTTTCAATAAGAAAAATATGCAAAATAGACTTTTGTCATAAAATTAAATTTGTTTTTCTTTTTTTTTAGGTGGTAGTACTGGAGCGGGAGTGCATAGTATGGATGACAGTTTCAACAATGTGTTGTTGGAAGGGACGCGTCAGTACTTTATGGGATTACCGAAGCAGGCACAAGGAAGTAACGGCCAACAGATGTGGCCTGCAGGTTCTTCGACTGAGGAGGGCACTCCTGCATTATCCGGGGCTCCTACACCCTCTTCACGGCCACCATCAGCTGCCGCCGCTCCACAGTTAACCTCAACGTCGACGCCAGTAGCGCCACCTCGGCCGCCTTCCGAGCCTATTGAACCCGAGCCACATATAATTCATAAGGCTACCGTGATGCGTGAGGCAGCAGAAAAAAGACGTGAACAACCTGAAATTGAAGATGACGAAGAACCTATGGGAGCGCTTTCTCCACCTTCTCATATAATTAGGAAGCCAACACCTCATACTTTACCATCGCCGGCGCCAGCTCCTGCAGCTCCAAGTCCTTCTCCGGTTCGGCCTCCTTCTGAGGTTCCCATTCCTCAACCAACTGTATCGGAGCAAATTGATCCCTCGGCTCAGTACCGTGGAACAGTTACTCGTGTGCAAACACCAACAGCAAGGCAAAACGATCACTATGCTCCTCGTGCGATTGATCATTACCCTACAACCCGTCCCCCTGAAGCGTTTACACGCTATCAGTGTGAGACAAATTTAGTCGAAAGTGGAAGAAATTCCCACGGACCACCAATTGCCTCACCTCAACCATCAATGCCGGCACGTCACAGTCCACAAACGTATGCCAGAATTTCGAGTACTATGCCGCAACACACTTCTAGTCGATACAATGATATGCCGACGCATAGTATGCCCAATCAACGCTATTCTATTCCTACCGCGCAAGCACCGCCTCCGCATAATGATCGAGTCCCTCCGATTCATCATCCACAACATTTGCCACCAACAAAAAGACTTAGTACAATAGATAGCAGAGTTTCTCAAGGCTATTCACTAGTGCCACAAAGGCGTGAATCTCCGTCTTATACTCGGTCTACGCCTCAATATGAAAGACAACCGGCTCTGCCTCAAAGAAAATATGATCCACAGCAAGCTTACTCTGGGTACCGGCCGTCTACAACGGTTCCTGTGCCTATACCAAATCGTAGAGTTGAACCCCAACATCCTACTCTATACAAACAGGGGAATATGGATGTTATCAACGCACATTATGCAGTTCGCCCGTCAGAACGTGTACCTCCTCAACCTCAGTTGCAAGCACATGAATTATCACGATTGCCTCCTCGTGCAGAGTATATAAGTAAAAGCAGGACAATGGATTCTAGAAATAGCTACCATTACCCGACGCCGTCAACTTCTACAGTTAGATATGCATCTAGCGCGGTAGTTCCTATTGCGCAGAATAATACCCTTGCTCGTTCTCAACCTCTTCAGTCTAGATCTTCATATCGCACGGCTGTAGCTCCAAAGACTAATTATGATTATTCAGCATCCACTCATGTACAAATATCTCCATCTCGCTCTACGGCTAAACCTGGATATCCTAGTCAACAGGCACGAATGACTGTGTCTGTTACGTCATTAGTGAATGAAATGAACCAGACAAAACAAAAACGTGAATCTCCCCTTGATTTGTCAGTAAAAACAGTCAAGAATTCTGCAGATTCATCTACTACTCAAGATGATGCTATAGATTCCGCATCAATGAAAAATGACAATATTCCACTGCAAACTAGACCATCATCAAGTTCTCGAAATCCCATGGTACCTGGTTATGTTGCTTCACACAAAGTAGATTTTGCCCCTGATTTTGCTCAACCATATAGAGAAAGAAATGTCAATCAGGGATATAATGTACTGCAAAATGTCCATCCTAGTATGCGTTATAACGGAAGCTATCATTCTCCAAGGCCAGCTGCTGAAACTTATTCCGTAGAATCTCGACCAGTAAACAGTGAATGTAACAAATACAATGGTTCTATTAATCGACCCGAGTACATACCCCGGATAGATCTTACTAGATCAAGTGGAGATCGTTATCCAGAAAGCAGAATTCGCGATGATCGTCAATTAATTATTGAAGAAAGAAAACGGCCTGCAGGGCCAATCGTAGGCAACATTCCTGAAAAAATTGTCCGATATGAAACGTGGACATCAGACAGCAGGATAGAACAAATAAATCAGTCGGCACGTGAACAACACGAATTAATGAGTCAACCAGTCTACAGCTACACAAGCCATAAGCGTTTAGAAGCTTACCAAAATGACCAAAAGCGATCAGCTACAACTAGCTCTTATCGTGAACATCATAATCACCATCGCTATTCTGCTAACCCTTACCCTGAACCAGTAAAAAGGGAAACAAGTGAATATCATGCTCATTATAATGATAGAGTGCCGTCTAGTAATAACCGTCATATAATACAAAAGATTCCGAGCCATAAAGATGTACATTCACATCATATAGATACGCAAAATGGCGCTCAACCTGCCGACAAGAATGTGTTAAGTATATTACGAAGTAGTTTAGAAACAAAACAAACTGCATACTTGGAGCCGGCTAAGCCAGCAAGAAAAATTCCCGATCTCATAGTTATAGATGACATAGATGACCCCGTAATAGTAATAACTGATATGCCTACGGACAATGAATTAGAAACAACTCAAAACATAAGTATGCAAACTCAATCTGTACTACCTTTAGGACATCATATAAAAATGCCAAAAGCTATTGATTCAATACCACGAGATTCAGACTATCAGAAGTTTGATAGCCCTGATCCCCCTCGAAGATCTCCAGAAGTTGATGTTGCTGCAAGGATACGAACTAAAGCTGAACTAAAAGTAATGCCGCCGTCTACAGATAGTTCTTCTAAACTTGACTCAAAAACTAATTCATTACCTTCGGAAAGTAAGCCTCTTCCAAAATCGCAAAAACAACATCTCTTCAATCAAATCCGCGAAGACAATCTCCGACTCGAATCTGTTTTAAAAAACGATAAACCTAATGAATCTAACATTCCAGAAGTTAAAATTGAACCAATGAATATAGAAGAAATAGAAAAAGACGCTGCATTGCAAATTAAAACTGAAAATGATTTAGAAAAAATGAATTCTTTGGGACCAAACTATAATGCTGTAGAATTAGATATGGACTGGGCTAATGCATGTGATAATTTTATGGAACAACTCAAAACAGGTTTTCATAAGAAAAAAGCTTGCAAAAAGCGCTCAAATACTATAGATCAAGAAAATGAGTATAGAGCTGAAGAAAGTCCTAAAGAAAACGATAATACTGATATTCCAACGGAAAAATCTATCCAAGAACCACTTTTAGTTGAAATAAAAAAGGAGCCAATTGACGAAGATGAAGAAAAAGTTACAAGTATAAAATTGCCGGACTTATCTAAACAAGATTCTGTAGTAAAAGTGAAAAATAAACACAAACACGACAAACAAAAAAATGATAAGAAAAATGAAAAAGACAATGACAAAGTGAAACATAAAAGTAATTCAAAAATTAAAAGTAAATTATCAAAGAACGAATCATCAACTAGTGTTATTGTCCCTATTAAAAAAGAACCTGAAGATTTTGAAAACATAAAGACAGTTATTAAAGAAGAATTAGAATCAAGCGACGAAGATGAACCTCTTAAATTATTAAAAGATAAACAAAGATTACTCAAAGATTTATCAGAAAAGTCACCATACGTTAAATTAGAGTGCTGTGACGAGCAAATGAATTCTACTGCAAGAAGATCGATAGATTCGACAGCAAAAGATGAAAAACAAAATAAAGGTAAAACACGACAGCTATCAAAATCGAAAAGAAAATCCTCATCTATTGAAAATATGAAAAAAGAAAAACTGAATGATGATTCGAGCTCTGACAGCGATGATGCGCTAAGCGTAGCTAGTAGACTTCGTGTAAGAAAAAGTATGAAAAGTGAAGATAGTAAGAGCTCATTAAAAACGAAATCGTCGCCTCTGAAAAAAATGGATATTGACAATAACAGTAGTAACAGTTCACCGCCATTGCGTAAACCCGGTTTCGGTGACGGATCAGACTTTCATCCTGGATGGGAAGAGGAATTATATAGGTATAAAAGATCTCTTCGTATGCCTACTAGACTTATCGCTATTCCAAGAGGACGTTCAGGCGGACCCTTCCCTAAAGGTTCTGCTGCACAGTTTACACGAGGTTCTACATCTCTTCCTGATTTGGATCCTGTTCCTCTCTCTCCTGCTCCGTCATCGGCACCTTCTACTGCAACTGATGATCTATACAGAAGACCCGATAAACTTAATATTGATAGTGATCTTGAATCGAATTCTAGTTGTTCAGCTTTTAACAAACTCCACTATGACTCAGAAGCTTCTACATCAACAGTTTTTTCTGCAGTAAGAGCAAAGAAAAAAAGCAATTCTATTGTTGACGTGCTAATACAAAAATGTGGTAAAAAAGAAGATTCTAAAAGAAAAATAAAAGAAAAGGAAGAAAAGACGCCTAAAGTTATTCCTAAAAGTTCTAATGCCACTGAGCTTCTCCCAACCCCTAGTTTAGGTCTAGTTAAAAACGGGAATAAGGGAAGTCTTAGTGCAAAAAAAGAAAAATTAATGGAAGATATTTATTATTTGGGGGCTTTTAGAAAGGAAACTGTCACTATGTTTAGAACAGCTTTTATAAAAGATACTGATGGCTTAATAGGAGCTACAGAAGAATTTGCACCTGTAGTTCTCAAGTCTAGAACAAGAACCGAGAGTAGAGTATTAAAACAACGAGCTACAATTAAAGAAGTTTTTGGCGATGATAGACCAGCGTCAGCACCTCCATCAGCATGTAGAGACGAGAGTGTTCAAGACGATAATGACGGGGAACAATCGATTTCAATACAAAAAGAACCTGAATGCCAATCAAAATTTAAACCTAAAAAAATAGTTAAAGAAAAATTAAAACGAAGATCGAGTTCTATAAGAGATGGCTTAAGAAGTACAAAATCTTTAAAAACTAATGACGCCAAAGGAAGAATGATGCGTTTAAAAAAACGAAATAGTTTAATGAAATCATTTGCTCACAAAAGAAGAAAAGAAATGTCAAATAAAATTAAAAAAGACGTTACTTCTACACTAAATGACAAAGATAACAACACTAAAGAAGAAAGTAATTGCCCAGGAACAACCGAGGGCAATCCTAAAAAACGTATGAAACGACTTTTTGGAAGGAGAAAATTTAGCTCAGGTTTTGATTATATTAGAAAAAAGAAAAAAATTATAAGACGTGAGAACAACATTCCTAAAGTTCGCCGAGCAGCACCCAAACCCAGTCCTGAATCTGTTCAAGATATTCAAAAAGAGATCAAAAGTTGGTTTATAAACAAAAGCATTGGGGAGACGCATCTACATCGTGCTGCAAGACTTGGTTTTACCGTAAGTATCGTATCACGTTGCAGTCATCCTAATATATAATTATTATCTATAAGGCATTGCAATAAAATTCTTCATCTTTTGTTTTGTAGGACTGCGTTGCTTATTGTCTAGAAAAAATGGAAGCAGATCCGTCAGCAAAAGATAATGCGGGATTTACTCCGTTGCATGTGGCATCGGCTAAAGGCCACGTGAGAATTGCAAGATTACTTCTTCAATACGGTGCCAATGTATCGGCTGCAGCGCAGGGTGGGATAAGGTAAATTTTATCTCTACATGAATAATAATAATTTTATTAATCAGCGCTACATCCAGCTTAACAAGAGTCTATTAAAAATTGGACATGTACTCGTATGTACTCGTAGTATGTACCTGCCACCTACACTTATTAAGTTAATAATATATTTATTATACTCGTATACACACATTTACAATTTAAAAATAAAATTATATATACAAATATAAGGATTTCTACTTTGTCACGCTAAATCAACCTAAAGTGTTTTTTGAAATTCCACCCCTAAACGGTTGAAATGGGGGGCTGAATTTTCTGTGAAACTTTTTATTTTCTGGGTCGATTGAAATTACTATTCAGTACTCTTCAATTAGAGTTATAAGACAAGTGTATCACAGTTTTTTCCAAAATCATTCCCCTAACTGAGTCAAATAGAGCTTCGAAGATTGTAACAAAGCGTTTTTCGTTTTTAAACTACAATTTGTCTCTAAAATAATGTAAATCTAATTATTCGCATTTCAATAATGGATTTTTTAAATTTATTTTCAGACCTCTTCACGAAGCCTGTGAGAGTTCTCATGTAGAAATTATTAGATTGCTGTTAGCGTATGGAGCCGATCCATTATTAGGAACGTATGCTGGTCAAACTCCTGAAGAACTAGCAGAAGGTGTTGCTGCAAAGTTGTTGCGGCTCTATATATGTGATGTTCAAGGACGTGCTGTTGAGCCTTGGAGATTCCCACCACCAGCAGAAGTCATCGGTAAGAAAAAATGTTATTAATTATTATATAAATAAATTATTAATATAACACACATAACAAAAACAATAAATTAATTTTAAGTTAATTATTTTAAATGCGCAAACATTCATCAACAGCAACAGTATCTGACAGTGCAACGGATTGAGCTAAATCACAATATGAACGGTTTGCGGCGAGAGAGTGCTCTAGCGGCTTATTAAAATGATACAATTAGTATTTAAATAAAGCATTTAACTAATATGTCTTATAATTTTCCTATGAACAGATCGTGAAGAGCTCGGTTGTGATCCATTATCGTCACCCCCTCCGGCATCACCACCGCCGCCGCCCGACTCCATGATGGAGATACAATGCACCGAGGCACCACTACCGCCCTTCTACAGTCTGCGGACTGCCCCTGGACAGCCAGCAGATGGCCTTTGGTGCTTGTTACAAGACGTGACTAATATCTTACAGGTAAGCAATGATTTTTTTTTGGACATTAACACACAACACCATCTAGTTCCATGGTAAGCTACAAGGCCTGTATTATGGATACTAGATAGTTGATACACTACACATATATAACTTTAGATACATACATATTTATATATTATAAATATATACGCTCATAACTGGAGTACAAACATTCGTGCTCGTCACACAAATGAATGCCCCCAGCGGGACTCGAACTGGCGACCGCTGGCTCAGCAAGTAGGGTCACTACAAACTGAGAAAAGCGTGTCGTCGAGTGATTTCGTCGAGCGAGTCGTCACTGATCAAAGTAATTGATAAAAACCGAAAAAAAAATCGGTAAAGAAGTTTTAATTTTGGAAAAATTGTTTAAAATCAACAATAAAATATATTATGTTGTATGGAGAAGTTAGAACTAATTACTTACTTCAAAAAGATATACATACTAGTAACACGTGATATTTTACAAGTCTGTTAAAATATCTAAGAAATTGTAACACATTTTTATTTGCAGATTAAATCAAAAGACAGCCTACTAAAACAAATCCACTGCGGGTCTGGGTCGCCCAAAGAGTTGCTCCGTGAAATACGAACGCAGGAGTTCCTGGAGAGAGCCCAATGCCACCAACTTCTGTGCGCTGGAGAGAAAGTGAATGTGCGCGCGTCGAAGGTGTCCCTCATAAGGGTAACCGACAAGCTGAGACAATTATTAAAGATAGAGACCGTCCTTGTCAGCTGACATTAGTTTCAGATTGACAATCATCTACAGTTATATTAGGTTATCACTAAACAAAAGACCATAATATTATTGGAGATGATCCTTTTCTGAAATAAATTTACTCAACAGATTTGTATTGAATATATATTTTACACAAAGGGAACAGTTGCATATAATTCCTTCAGTGTAGAGTGGATCTGATGCTTGCTAGATTGGATGTTTTGGTGAGACATCGCTACATGAAGTACAGATCAAGTCTTTAAGAATAAAGTGGGTTTTAAACCTACTTTGACTGATTTATTGTAAAAAAAGGATGTATCTCATTTAGGAACAAAATAACATATTTGTTTTACGAGACTGTGTAATTTAAGGCAGCCATTACATAATCATTTTATTTCTGAGCCACCGATGTGTATTGTTAGAATGTGTGCTCTTTTGAACAGTTGTATATATTGTAAATAGTGTCGCAAATGTATATAATAAATGTTGCTTTAATTGTATTATATTCTCATGGGTGCTATTTAATGATGGTGTATGGTCTTTATGGGTTAGATGAATAAATAGATACGCGGCAATGTTAGAATAATAGTAGATATAAGAACTGTAGTTACCATAAATTAATTTAAGATATATTATAGCATAATCTTTAAGTGTGCAATAGTATAAGTTCATTGTGAACCCTCTATAGATAATATTAAATTTATAACTGGATGCTCTACTGTATTTTATAATTATGCCATTAAAAGCTGATGTTTTTGGCACATTTAAGTCTGTGTAGTAGTCTGTGTGTCTGTCACTTACAGATAAGTTTTAAAATGTAACTAATAATAGATAAAGGATGCTGATTGTGGGTGGTGTCCTGGGAAGAATATGCATTATTGAAGATGTATACTGTATAGTTATAAAACTGCATTTCATGTACGCAACACCCTGGAGCTTATTTTTAAATATAAATAAAACTCATGATGTCCCAGAAGTTTTTGATAACTATCTAATAGTAATTGTGCAGATGAATGTTTGAGAATTGTGTGTATATTTTCCTGAGATTATGCTATGCTAAGTTAATAGATAATTACTTTTGATCTATGATCATAAAACTTAACATTATATTTTGTTCGTTGTTATGTTTGCCGATATTTTGTCTGTCTGATATATTTTTATTGTACAATTATCTCTCATCCCTTATTTTAATAAAGTTGTTATTTATTTATACAACCCAATAAAAAATATTAGGAAATTTTATTGAAATCATATTATTATGCATATCGTGAAAATTATTCAGTGTAAATATATAAGGCAAATAGTAAACAAATTATTATTTTTAACTTATTTCGAATAGGTTGTCCGAATGTTACATTCATTAATCAGTCAATTAAGGGTTTTTAAAAGGTGAATGAATGTTAACAGTTTTCTATTCCATAATTAAGCCATGTTCCGCCCTATCTTATTTCTGGAGTTAAACAAAGAAGTACATGATTGATCTGTGATGAAATAATATTAGAAAAAAATGTGCAAGCGGAAGATGGTATGAAAAATTTAATAAAATGTAGATTGAAAAGGAATGTAACAGTACTTTATACGAGTTGTATACTTTAATAAAAATTGAACTGTAATATTAACTGTTTGTTATAAGCGGTACCTACAATATAAGTATTATTATCCTTTATGACACAATATTTCTTGTTGATAATGTGAAGAAAATAAAGAAAATGATCAATGAAAATTAGTTTCAATCGAAACCCTCGTATATAAATATATCGAAGTGTATAATGGAGAAGTTTCCAATTCTTTTTGTATTATAAAAATTTCAGTAAAATATAATGAAAATATTTAAAGAACTACATATTAAAATATCTCAACAAATGAACACTTACACTGGCAGAATGGTCAATGGATTGCGTCTGTTATCGCAACTCTAGTGTAGGAAACATTTTTCTAGTAAGGAAAAATGTCTTGAAATTCAATCTGAGGTTAAACAATTTAATAAGATATCTCTTTTGTGCCTAATTTTTTGCTTCTATTGTGTTTGCATCTCACCTGTACCATGTATTGTGCCTGGAAGTTAGACCAACTGAAGGAAGAATTGAGAAGGAGAGGTACATCCTGCGGTGGTTCTAATTGATGGATCAACACACAGATGAGAAAGGATTTTTCATAATTCATCACATAAGTGGGTAAAATAGGGGATTAAGATTTTATGAAAATCTGAGATTCTTATTAAGGTAATTAAGTTTACAAAGGCAAAAAATTATTTATGATCAGAACTACTTGAAACTTGGTATTAATGCTCTTCAATACAATTAAATAAATACGTGGGTTAGCATTTTTCGAAATTCAATCCCATAAGGGACGAAAGTTTGTATAAAACTCTGTAATTAATATGTAAAAAATTACAAAAAATAAAACATAAAATAGACGATTTAACAGTTTTAAAATCACTTTCTATAAAATGATGTCTTATCGCTTTAACCTACAATTTCTTCGGTTTCTATCTTTTGGGAACTAATTAAGCCGAATCTGTACATTAAATATTTTTTGGATAATCTTAGTGAAATAAACTTTATTATCGATACGGAGACCGAATCTATAGTTTTTGGAATTTTTGTCTGTCTGTCTGTTACCCCATCACAGAAATACCACTGGAGGGATTTTGATGTTTGATATGGTGATAGCTGGTTGTCCGGGTCAACATATAGGATACTTTTACCGCGGAAAAATATCTTATTTCTGAGAAAAAATACAAAAACCGCAAAGTAAGAGTAGATTAATATGTAAAAACCTAAGTTTTTGGTCATCTGAACGCGGGCGGAGCCGCGAGCAATGCTAGTTTTAAATAATATAGTGATCACGACATCTGGCGGGAGAGAAAGGCAAAATTCTTTCCCAATAAATAAAAATTGCAATATATTTTAACATAATTTAGTTAACAAATTCTGCGCTAAATCCGCTTTTATATGGGATTATGTCATCTATGCTGTTTTTTGTCTGTGACATAAACCATAAATGATTTATGAATACCTAATATTTTTAAACATAAACTAGAAACTTCAACACAGTGTAGCGAATTTAAAGGCGTTCCCCCCAAATTTACGGGTAAAAAAATTGCACCGGGTATTTTTTAGTGGTTTTTTTCTTTAATAGCATGACATAAAAGACAAAGTTTCGTTTAAAGACTTGGGAAAAATCATATATCTTTAAATACCATTTGCATCATTTATGCTTTTTTTATTACATATTTTCTAAGTTATCTATTATTATTATTATTATTAAATAGTTATATGTAGTTATTATAATAATAACCATAAATAAGTTTTTTACGGTATTTGTAATCATTTAAAATCAATAATTATAAAAAATTATAATAGACAGAAACCAACATTTTTCCAATTTGACAGTTAAGTGCTGGCAACATTGCTTCAACAACGCCAACAGACAACACACAACAGTGAACACTGAACAGTCGGGGCGGGGTTTGGTTAGACAGTTATTATTAACGTCTTTATAGTCTTTTAACTTTACTAATTGTAAACTAAGAATAGTATGAGTAAAAAAAACACAAAATCTAAATATTTTTGTAAAATATTGAAAAACTTTCACATGTGAACAATAGGACATACACTATGTGGAAAACAAACGTAAAAGTGACTTTGTTTCTGCTTGTAGTTTTAAATTGTGTAAACGGACAAGGATTAGAACCATCGGTTCCATTTAATCCTAACTATCCTCAGTCTTATCAACCAAACAGTAACCAAAATGGCTCTTCATATCGTCCAAATCAGCAAGTACCTTACGGAAGTATACCAGTAAACGGTAATGATTTTAATCGAATACCTCAGAGTTCATTTTATCAAGACAGTCCTAACTCAGATATATATGGTCATGGAGATAACGATGTTGATCCCCAAAGCACTGCAAATTACTACGCTGGACTAGATTATGAAGAACGATACCGATGCCCTCCTAATTGGATTCGTTTTAGAGAGTCGTGCTATCGATTCACAAAATCTCCGGATCGTCCTCATAATGAAGCTCGCAAAATTTGCCAAGCATATGAATCTGATCTAGCATCAGTAAACAGTCCAGAAGAGCATGGTTTTATTATTACTACTTTGATGCAAATAGATCCTCAAAAAGGATCTTGGTATATAGGAGCTCACCAACAAACTCCAGGATATTGGTCTAATGAAGGTGATGGCTCACAATTGACTGGTCTAGAAAATGCATTTTTTGATGATAGAAAGTTGATTTATACTAGTTATAATATATTGCCTCGAGATTATTTAGTATACAGATTTTCTCATGAAGATGGCCGTTGGGGATTAGCACCTATTGAAGGTACACAATACTTTCACTTTATTTGTGAAGGGCAAACACAGAGATTACATTATCTTATAGAAGAAGAGCGTTCTTTCACATATGGGCTTGATACATTTGATCCAGAATATATACCAAGAGGCCCATATTTTGTAAAAGAACCAGTTGATACAATTTATGATCCTTTAAGAAATCATTATGTGCAGTTGACATGTATAGCTGGAGGTTATCCTGCACCAACTTATAAATGGTTCAGGGAGGATTATAAAGTTGATAGTCCTGTATATACTGAAATAGATCCACTGTCAGAAACAAGGTTTGTCTTAAGTGGAGGTACTTTAATGATATACAATCCGGATTCTGATAAAGATAATGCTAAATATCACTGCACAGCAACAAATAAATTTGGAGTCATACGTTCAGAATCTGTGAGACTATCCTTTGGTTTCATTAGAGAATTCAATCAGAAAAGGTCTGTTGAGAGTGGCAAACAATATTGGGGTAAAGTTATGCATTGTGATCCACCATCATATTATCCATCTGTCAATTTCTTGTGGGCTCGAAACTATTTTCCTAATTTAGTAGAAGAAGATAAGCGTGTATTTGTGTCATATGATGGTGGCTTATATTTTTCAGCTTTAGAGACTATAGACAGAGGTAACTACAGTTGTAATGTTATGAGTAAAGTTTCTGATGCTGGACGAAATGGACCTTTCTTTCCCCTACTTGTTTATCCAAATTCAGATTACCAGCAACTAAAGTTTCCTAATAATTTTCCAAAAGTTTTCCCTGAAGCACCAGTTGTTGGTCAGGAAGTACGCTTAGAATGTGTTTCATTTGGATACCCTGTTCCATCATATAATTGGACAAGAAAAAATGGGGGCATTCCTAAAAAATCATACCTAAGCAATTATGACCGTGTCCTAACAATACCTAATGTTGATGTTGAAGATGAAGGTGAGTACATTTGTGATGTTCGCAATGACAGGGCACGTATCTCCAACAGTGTTTTTCTCAAAGTACAAGCTGAACCCAATTTTACAATTCCCTTAACAAATAAACATGTTGATAATAAAGGTGATTTACACTGGAATTGTGAAGCATTTGGTATCCCTGATGTCAATTATACTTGGTGGAAAAACAATAAAAAATTATCCATGGATACTTTGGAAACTGAAGATAGAGACCGATATGTAATACAAGATAATGTGTTAATCGTTAAATATTTAGATCCAGCAAGGGATCCTGGCATGTATCAATGTGAAGCGCGTAATCAATTAAAAACTAAATACTCTACAGGTCAGTTGCGCGTATTGTCTCTTAAACCGTCATTTAAAAAGCGACCGCTTGAATCCGAAACGTACGGATCAGAAGGCGGAAATGTCACTCTTCGATGTAATCCAGAAGCAGCTCCAAAACCAACATTTATTTGGAAAAAAGATAATATTGTAATTGGAGCTGGAGGTAAACGATTTATTGCTGAGAATGGAAATCTAATTATACGACAATTATCGCGAGATGATGAGGGTGTTTATACTTGCGTTGCGAAGAATCAATATGGCTCGGATGAAAGTCGTGGTCGTCTCATAGTGTTGCGTGCACCACGTTTCCTAGAACGGATGCCACCGCGCATAACTACGCAGGTTGGAAACGTAATTTTCTTGCATTGCAACGCAGAAATCGATTCACTTTTGGATACCGCCTATCTTTGGAATCACAATGGAATCAGAATGAAAGACGCAACTGATCTTTATGCCGACAAACGAATAAAGATCGATGGAGGGGAATTGACAATTTTTGACGTTAGTCTATCAGATGTTGGTGAATATGAGTGTATTGTGAAATCCGCAATAGGTAAAATCTCATCTCGTACACAGCTGCGCATCGAGGGTCCGCCTGGACCACCCGGGGGCTTACAGGTTATTAATATTCAAAGATCTTCTGTTACTCTGGAATGGACCGATAGCAATCCAAATGGTCGTCCTATAACTAATTACGTTATATCTGGTCGCACTCAGTGGAATTCAACATGGTATGTTATAAGTGATAATGTAGCAAATGTGATGGAAATTGATAGATATAATAGAAGGAAACGTGCTACGCTAACGACAGAACTTATGCCATGGTCTGTATACGAATTTCGGGTGCAAGCTGTCAACAGCTTAGGCGTAGGAAAATCTTCGTCGCCAAGCCCTCAATTCTCCACTCAACCTGACAAGCCAAACCAAGCTCCATCTAACGTTGGAGGTGGAGGTGGAAAAATGGGTGATCTCACCATTAAGTGGACTCCATTACCGCCATCGTTACAAAACGGCCCTGGTATTCATTATAAAATATTTTGGCGCAGAAATAACTCTGAAGTTGAGTTCCAGTCACTTTTGTTGAAAGAGTATGGCAATGTAGGAATGCATGTCGTCCACATTCCCGGGGAATACTTTTACACGCCCTACAATGTAAAAGTACAGGCTTTTAACGATATCGGTGCCGGTCCAGAGAGTGAAGTAGTTACTATTTATTCTGCTGAAGATATGCCACAAGTTGCTCCACAACAAGTCTATGCGCGGTCATTCAATTCTACAGCTCTCAATGTCACTTGGAATCCCATTGATCAATCCCGAGAAAGATTGAAAGGCAAACTAATAGGTCACCGACTTAAATATTGGAAAGAGTCTAACAAAGAGGAGGAGTGTATATACTATTTGTCCAGGTCAACACGCAATTGGGCACTCATAGTGGGATTACAACCTGATACCTATTATGTTGTTAAGGTACTATTTTTTAAACCATCTATTTTCAGATACTGTTTACAAAAACCTTACTCTGTGATAAACTCAAATCTTTCAAAATGTTTTAGGTAATGGCGTTTAACTCAGCTGGTGAAGGTCCAGAGAGTGAACGTCACGTCGAACGTACATTCCGTAAGGCGCCACAAAAGCCGCCGGCCTCAGTCAACGTGTGGGCCGTCAACCCAAGCACTGTTCGTGTTGTTTGGAGATATGTTCAACCTACTGATGAAGAAGAACCTCTTATTGGTTATAAGGTAATCATATAAGTCATTATGTAGCTCAACTTTATGAAAGTGATTATTTTCCTGAAGCCCTATTGTCTTAACTAATCTTTGTTTATTATTATAATGCTCATATTTGTGTGTTTTTGACTATATTAAGTTTAATAAATTTTTTTGGTAATGGCTTTAAAACGTGCCAGTTGAGCAGAGATTACTTTGCCAATATCACATAGAATGGAGAATATACTAAATTAAATAACTGGGGAAATATTTGGTTGGTTGTTGATACAGCATGTAATATAAATACTTTTCTTTCGTCGGGGCTAATGAGTCATGTCCATGTTAATGTAGAAGATTTTTATGTTGTTTATATGTTAGCTTATAAAGTTATTCTAAAATACAACAGAAGTTTTAATATTAAAATAAAATTATTATTCAATTTTGCTTTATAACTGTAACTATTAAATTTTTGTATTTTTTTAATTTCTTTTTTAGGTAAGAGTTTGGGAAATCGACCAAGATATGAGCACTGCAAATGACACCCTGGTGCCAGTGGAACACAAGTTGGAAGCATATGTCACTAACTTGACACCGGGCAAGTCGTACAATCTCAGAGTACTAGCATATTCTAACGGAGGTGATGGCAGGATGTCATCTCCACCTATAACCTTCCAGATGGGGGACTATCACAGTGATGCATATGGTTATTATGTAAGAAGCTCCGCCAATACGTCACTAATCTCTAACATATCTATGTTTTTCATCAACTTGATTTCATTTTTGTTCATTAGGATACTATAACAAATAGGGTAGCTTTAAAATATCTTAAGGTTTTTTTATATATTTCGAACTTTTACACAATTTTGTTGTTATGCAAATATTTTTTTGTTCTTTTTAATTTATTATGTTGTGATATACATCCGGCCATTATGCTTATACTTTTTACTTTATACTATATGAATTTTGTTATTTTTTATATTTCTTCTTTCTATATGTTCAAGTATTAAGCTAAGTCCTAGGACATATTTTAAATATTCTTGACAATAAGTGTGTAAATGAATCTCAATATTTTTTTAAGACAATATTTGCAAATACTATGAAATCTGTATTTTTTTATTTTATTTCATTAACAAACACATAAACCATATCTGATAAGATTTTAATTTTTACTTTATGTAATTTTATTGTGAACATTTAAAAATGAATCTTTAATCCGAGCCATTTTTATAGACTAAGGTAGCACACATACTTTAGGGAGTATGAAAATTATATTTTTATTAATTACAGTTTTATTTTATTTTTATATTTTGAGCCATTTTTTTTATATTTCAAAATAATTTTAATTGTCCATGTTACAAGTAAACATATTTTTTTGATACATCTTTAAAGTTTCAACATAAATTGCCCAATGTAAGTTGCTAGTAATTTGAATTTTCTGATGTTTATTTCTTTAAGTTGTCTTTAATCTTAAATAATGTTAATAAATTTTGTAAATCATATAAGATTTGGTATCCCATATTATGTTTACTCGAAGAGAACTATGAATTACCGATTTCAGACCCGCGGTTGCACTGTTTTGTTACACTGGTGTAACTACTGAGCATATCTATGACTTATGGTTACACTATGAATAAGATCTATATAAAAAGTATACACTGGTGTAAGTTCTGACAAATGGTTACACAAAGAAAACGATAGCCTTTGTATTCAGCCCTAAAGTCCCACTGCTGGGCACGGGCCTCCCTTCAGTACGAGAGGAATCAGGCCATAGTTCGCCACGCTGGCCAAGTGCCGATTGGCGGACTTCACATGTCTTTGACTGTGTGTTATGTCTGAGCCTTTATTATTAGATTAGTCATTAAAATTAAGTACATTTATACATTTTTCATTTAATATTTTAATTCTTCTAAAGCATTTTTGTTTCTAAAAGTTCATGATGGGAAATGTATTACGCATACCACCTGTAGACATACAGGTGGTTATGTGGGATTTACCGGCTAGAAAAGCCAGTACTACCCACTAAGACTCAACGAAACCTCCCCCGTCTTGATGGTGTATCGCAGGATCGCTTACGCACTCAACTACGACGCCCCGTCGGCAGTTCTGCCGAAACAGACCACAACTACCATGGGTTTGCTCCACAGTCCGCTCTGCTATCAGAGAAGTACCAGGGGCAACCCGCATGGTACACCGCTCACCGAGGTGGTATAGTTGCCGGGCACTACTAAGCACCCTCCCATCCTTTATAGGTATGCTCGGTTGTTACATTACTGTAACCATGGGTCTTAAGTCGAATCATATTTTGCTTAAATAGTTTTAGTAATCTTTCTACTTAAAATTGATGCTACCATTTCCATGACAACTAACAGCAGATATGATATTGCTTATTTTGTTTTAAAAGTAATAAGAAAAATCTCTACCTGAAAAGCGAAAAATGTCGTGTGTTTAATCTTAAATTTATATAAGATATTTTAATAAGTATATTCTCATGCTATCAATACATTTAATTGTAATGTGTGTGCCTGAAACATAATTGAGGGCGTCAGCTCAAAAATAGCTACACTTGAAATGATTTAAAATGATAATAAAATAATAACACATAAATTTACTTTAAAGTTATGCAGATGCTGTATGAACGTATTATTTACAATTTTGATTCCTTTTAAATTGTTATTTTTTACTATGTAAATAAATATTTATAAACATTTTATATATAATTTTGCTGCTTAACTTCTGCGCTGACAGCCTCAAATATATGCGAGTATGCTGGTTAGTTAGTAATATATATGATAATGCCTTAATAGTACCGTAAAATGTTAATATTTTGTATAGAAACATCTGTTCAATAAAATTAACTACAGATTTATTTTTATTTTCTATCTTTTATTGGCATCGATATTTTTAAGGTCCCTTGCAATAATGTCAATCAAATGAACAGCCCGGAGTTGGGAAGTTAGGCGGTGCAGTTAGCCCCGTGCCTCGGGGAGTACGTAAAGCCGTAGCCCTGATCTCTCACCGCGAGAGACGAAGAGTCGTCCCACCGGAGTGATAGAATGATTGAAATAGAGTGCTTTTACCTCATACTTTGCACTATAATATCTCCTGCGCAGTTGGCTAGTTTCCATGAGATTAGCCGCCCTAGCCGGAATCGGTCAGAAGAATATTATTATATTGTAAAACAATGAAACACTTTTTATATTGATTAAAAAAATTGATATACACAACAGAAAATCATATGTCCCGCCCAAACGTCAAATATATTCGTCGTCATACTTTTCAGTTTTCCTGCCTGTCTGGCACCTGCGTAGACAAACACCACAAAGGTTGTAGGAAGGCGCTTGATGTCTTCGAATAAAAACTAGCGGCGCGTAACAATATTATTTTTAAATGATTATGTAGCAATATTTGCGCACCTTTACAATAATATGTTGGAAGCATGAAACTTTAGAGCAACATTTGCAACTTTGCAACTTTAGAGCAACAACTTTGAAAAATAAATAAAAATGGCGTTTTGCAACAACGCGGCGGTTCAATTCCAGTAATGAAATGATGGCTATTTAATATCGTATATATTATACACAACCAATCCAATTGCCGTGTATGTATTTATATAGTACCTATAAGGGTCTAGTTAAGACTTAAGCAACGCGAAATGAGCTATAGAATAATGTAATTAGTGTCTCTAAAACAGCCACTTAAGAAATTTTGGCGGTAATTACGACATAACATGAAAAGGATGATGTGATAAAAGGACTTTTCTATAAACATAATTTTTATTTACTCCTACATTACAAAATTAATTAACATTCACCTTTTTGCTTTTATTTTTACGTTTCAAATATTTAGCATCAACTTCGTTTAATGTATTAATGTTGTAAGTACTTTTCCTCTTTATCAAACTGTCGTCTGCTTGAACTTGCTTCAAGGGAAGTAAGCCGACCGCAAATGGTATATTTTCATCTAATGTAGAACGTACAGTGTTTTGAGAATCGGGACTATCATTTTCGTTATTAATATAATCTTCATTCAGAGCATCCCATTTTTCAGTATCAAGATTGATCGAATCATTTAAATTAACCATAGATCTGGCTGGTTTAGATTTGGGCGTATTTAATTCTATATCAGGTTTTGAGTTGTCGATATTTTTAGACGCAGGTTGTATATTATCAAAATCCCACTGTAAATCATTGGACGAATCAGCGGTATCAAAGTTACCATTTGAATTATGATCTTTTTCTATTTCGGCTAATTCAGAATTTAATGTGTCTATATCAATGTCTTTCGACTTGTTCTTCTCATTAATTATATCTCCATCACAATTCTCCATTATCTTATTTTCAATGTTCATCAAATCTTTCATAATCTCATCTTGTTCCTGAAGTCCGTTTTCTATATTCTGCTCCATGTAATTATCTTGATTTTGCGTATGTTTTGGCGTTGACATTAAACAGTCCAACGTACCTTCTTTAAAATCATTTGCGTTAGGAAGCTGTAGACTAAAATCGTAACAAGTATCATTTCTTTTTAAGTCGTCTGTATTGTAATGTGACTTTGTATCGAGCAGAGACATGTTGAAACTGGTATCTAGAGACGTGCTCGGACAAAACTGGTCTAATGTTCTAGTCTCGCTTAGTTGTTGTTCCTCATAATATTTTTTGACGTCATCGCTCATAGATTTTGTGAAAAATTGCATATCACTTTCGATACTTGCAAAGTCGTGATTACCATCTTGATCAAGTGCATTACTGGTGGTATTTTGTAGAGAATTATTTAAAACCACATAGTTTTGTTGCGTATCAAAAGGTTCTAAATTGTCTGGTAAAATTTCATTCAGACTATTAATAGTTTCTTCGTGAATATTATTAGTTTTGTCAAAAGTGTTATTGGATGGGTAATTCTTTGAACCGAGAATTTCGCCTCTCTCTATAGATCTGGAGAGCTCGTCTATGCTCTTGATTTCACTTGGATCCGCAACTTTTTCAATAATATTCGGTTGTTCAATCACCTCATATTGTATTTCGTTACTTTGAACCATATCTAGAAGAACTTGTTCGTTAACGTTTATATATGATCCATCACCAGATTCAAATAAAATCGGCAAATCTGTTGGTAATCCAGCGTTTTTCAGAGCATTTACATATTGTGACATCGCTGTGTTTATTTCATTGTTTGAAGTTTCTGTTGTTGTATTATTTGGTGCAGTTGTATAATTTGATGTCATAGTATCGTTTCCAAGCGAATCCTTAGAGTATGGGATAGGATCGAGGGGATTTGACGAGATATATTGGTCCATGAACATGAGATCGTTGTCCATATTGAGATAGCTACTTGAGCTATCATTGTTGCATATACTGCTAACAGCTTCCGATAAGGTCACCCTATCCATGTAATCCTGAAAATTTATTTAATTAACGTTTTATTATAAGAAATCGATGTAGCAAAAAAGCTACGAAGCTTCGAATCGAAATTCGTGAAAAGGAAGTAAAGTTTTGAAGTTATACTTCTTTTAGCACGTTTAGAAAAAAATATGAGAGTAAAATTTTTACAATGCGCGCGCACACCGACAGCCAAAAAGCGACATGAAGAAGCTGCATTCCTTTTACAAACGGAGAGTTGTGACATACGTTATGAAATCTTTAGCTATTTTTGTTCTGTTACGCCAAAGAAATATAACTTCTTACGTGTTGTTCTTACATGAAATCACAACCAATCTATACATATATGAGTAGGTACATTACCTGCATGTGTTTCGTTTGTAAATGCTTTAGATGGTGGATAGCTTTACGAGAATCCTGCTCTCTGCGTAATAAAGCTCTCTCAGCTGCTCGCCCTAATGTGTTGCCGCTTTCCCAAGTGTCCGATCGCTAAGCATTACAAACAAGAAATATAGTGTTTATATGCTTATGTACACTCTTATGTATAGGTACTAATTGAGTAGATATAGAGAACACAGACACTTTGTTGATTTGATAGGCACTATGTACGGTTGCACTATACTGCTGCAAATGATGAGGTTTAAGATTCGATTTCCGGATCAGGTCATTATATCATTTATCGGGCTGGAAAGTTGGTCTTGTAACAGATTTTTGTCTCTAGAGTAAGAGCACATCAAAACAATTGGTCCTACGCCTTATCCCGGTTGGACCGATTTTTTCGAAATTGTTAAGATAGAAGAAGAATCTGGAGTTCGTGGTTGGAATTAGAATGTAAATTCATATTTGGTGGGCAATTTTATTTTGATTAAATTAAGCTTCTTAACGCATAAACCCTGATCTCATAAGGGAATAAAAAAAGTAGTGTTTTTGTGTTATCTCGTATGTTTCTCCCTATTACTTTGCATAGTTATTGAGATTTCGAGCTAGTTCTAAACTGACTCAAAAGCTTTTGACACTAACGTACAACAATAATTGGCTACATACTGTGCGAGAATTATAATCTAAAATAGATATACACAACAAGTAAATAATTGTGAAGTATGCGTTAGGTGTATTTCGAGCGTGAGTGAAGGGAGGCCAGTGACTACGATATGATATGAACTAAACTATAAATGCAAGACTCTTCACCATTTTCAATGTAAATATGATATTATGCTTAAAATAATTACCAATATCTATTATTTTTATTTTTGATTGCTAATTTTTTACCTTAAAGCTAGGTCTTCCTCGACGCGGACGTATTCCACGGGAAGGATCCGAATAATCTACGCCTGTACTTCCACCTTCTATGTCAAAAGGTATGCGTACGACTGTATCCTGTTTAGAATATTGTGATTTTTTATTCTCATTATTATGTGCAAGCGATTTTGTGGGCATTTAATTCTTTAACGTAGAATTTTGCAAAACGAAAAGCATACCAGTTGTAGATAAAAAGCCAGGTATAAAAGCCTAGACTGCCTTAGAGTACTACTAAGTATACATTTTAAATAAATCTTTAAATCAAGGTTCCATTGTGATAGTAGTATACCGTAATAAATCACTATTTTCTCCATTAAACAAATTATTAAGGGTCAAAAGCTAAATATTATAAAAGGGTGGTAGAGTTGGTATGCTGTTTGCAGGAACATCTGACAATTTAGCGGGTCATTGCTGGATTTAAATAGTAATGTCTTTGTTTTAGAATTTCTTATATTCATTCTAAAGTTTGTTATAGATAATCTCATATGTGCTTCATTTAGTCCTTTATTTCGTTCAAAAGTTGCAGAGCACTAAAACCGATCAGATTCTTGAGATAGAATATAAGACCGAATACCTACCTATTTTTGTCTTTGAGGAGTTAAAGAAAATATTTTTAATACCTCTACGGCCGGGGACACGCCGGCGTGTCAGTTAACAATAGATTTCTTAGAATTTTAATAAATTTCTTAGAAATTTACCTGGAGCTGTTAAGAGCAGACGTACCTTGTTCGTTCGAGTATCTGAGGGTTGATTGATATTTGCAATTTGTGCCGGTGTTTTGGAGTCCACGTTATCCTTTAAATGTTAGTTTACGTTACGTAATTAGTACCATTTTATATTAATTATAATTTTATATTATTTTAATTTTATGATTGTATCAATTAAAATATTCACCTGAGAATGTAAGTCGATTAGAGACTGCGGCGGGCGGTTTATTACTACCGGTGGAGTAAAAACTGGCAACTCGCCTTTAATAAAAATGAAAGTAATAGATATATATCTATATTAAAAATGTGAAATTTTGTGAGTGAATGTTCTGTGTTTCTACACTGTAGCATTTCAAGTCCTACTGGATTTGAGTGAAATTCGGAATGAAAAGAGCTTACATCTTGAATAATATATGCTATTGTTTAATTTAGCAGTAGTGCAGTAACTTCATTATCATATAGAATAAAATATATATAAAGCAATTCAGTACCAAAAGCTCTCTTTCAATGCACATATAGATAAGTATATGGTAGGTAATTATCGGTGATTGTAAAATTAAGCATTTAGTGGTATTATATCTAAGTTTTGTTATTAATGAAATATATCAGCCTTCCATCTATGATCTATAAGACCTACTATCGACTCCACTTCATGATCCTAGTCGAATAAAACGAAATAAGCTGTAATTAACTTACTCTGATTATCTATACCAAGACCTTCTTTAGTTACTTTCGACAATCCTTTTATCTTCAGAAACTGCGCTGCTGACACTAGCTCATCTAAATTTTCTTCTAAGCATTGCGTTTTCCCGCAATACATAAACTCTACGAGACATTTGAGTACGCTAAATTTCATTTTTAAAATTATTAACGGCTCTCCAGTTTGCTTTTGCAAAACTTCCTGGTAAAATTAAAAAAAAAGAGTTACCTATATGTAATTGTTGTAATGCTTATGATACCTTTGTACATAATATAAACTAGTTTCAATTAATGGTAGAGTTGTTGCCATACAGATAGATGTTAGTATCTACTACTTACTAGTACGCAACTCTAAAATTTGACTTATGTAAACTACGAGAAAAGGATGACGCTAATCGCGCATGTAAACTGCCGTTTCGGTAGTATAATGGACTACTGCGCAGTCATTTAGGACTTATTTTAGATAATATTTAAGCAATTTTATTAAATTATTAGATCAGACAATACCACTAAAGTCAATATGTATAATATAATATTTATATAAAATCTTCCGAAATAACTTACTTGAAAATAAGCACTACTCGCAGCAAGTACTGCTTTATGAACACGCAAAGTGTGAGAACTACACATAAGTGTCATGTCCACCAATGATTGCATTTGTAATAATTTTCCAAATCTAGACATCAAGTGCTCAGAATAGTCTTCATAGTGCAAACTGTAGCGTATTGGAGCCATTCTCAATAAATTAACCTGTGCTTAGCATTCAAGCGGAATGATTTTTTATGAAATTTAATATTATGACATTTATTTACATATTTGATAGATGGAAACAAACGAAAAGCAAAAAAACAAAAATAGAATGTCGAAATTTTTTTTTTTAAATTAACATCTATACCACCAGGATGAACCTTTCAAAGCATTTTTTTTTAATTTTATCATATAGGTATAAGCACAGACATTACAACCTGTTTGTGGGTATAAGAGACCAAGGCAATAATAAAAAACTTATGTGTCGGATTCTTTTATTTAAAAAATACAGAAAAAATAGTAAATGTTAGAAAATGAATGTATTACAAATTTGTATTTGTTCGAAACTATATTTTATTCGATATAAAAAAAAATATGAAAACAAAAAATGCAAACTTATTCTATCACAGACTAATTAAGTACTGGAAACAATTATAAAATACGTATTATAATACTTATGTTCTTAATATATATTTAAAAAGATCAATGGCTAATATCTTGACACTAACAATACAAGTAGATAAAAACGAAACTAATAGGCTTAGATTTTCAGCATTACCGTTTGGAATGTAGGTAGGAATGAATTTATTTGTTCATAAGGCACTTGGAACAAATACTGAGATCATGGTCAGGGAAAGGTTTCCCACCAGATTACGTAAAGTTTTTGTTCTTTAAAATTAATCAAAACAGAGACTGCCATAAACACGTACATATTAATTATATTACAAGAAAACTATTAAGAATAAATTCATTATTTCATGAACTACAAAACCATTACATAGTTCCTTTGAGTCTAATCACATTCGAGGTTTACACCAAATTCATAAAAAACATATTTTATACATATACATATACTTTAGAGTAATTACAGACAGTTCTACGAGAAATAAACTCGAAATATGTTGTTATTATGAGGTCACCCGCATAACACAATTTTTATTTAGCTCTTTAGTTTTATTAATAAACGTTACTCACGTCATTAACATAACAAAGTAAACTCTATCACATGGTTATTGCAAGAATAACAAGCGGTTTATAATTAAATTATTCTCACATTATCCACGCGAAGTAAAAATGTAAAATACAAATTTGTAACATTTCCAATACTTTTAGTATCGTCTTAGAAATTGGTTTCTATACAATACAATATCTATGTTACCCTTACCTTCCTACGACGAAGCTCATATACGCTGTGGCGAACAAGCTTTCGCGACCCCACCACTCGGATATATGGAAAATATTCTGATATCTGAGATAGAATACTATTCCACACCCTAACATTTTATTTAAACTTACTGCTGTTTCACACTTTTGCTGTACTTTACTTTTCGTAGATATTGTACTTCCAAAACAATTTTGTTTACGTAAAATAAATTTTTCATATTGGTATTATTTATTTTTTATTTTATAACATATTGGCACAAATAATAAGATACGTCCTTTCCGAATTAGAAGAGAAATATAAGGACTAATCTTTTTCTTTTTAGGCGGAAAACATAATCCCGATGTTTGTACCTAAACAGCATATTAAATATAACAATGAATTTACACGTTTATTCCTAATTACAATATCTACATATACATACATATGTACGATAATATTGTCACACTAATACATTGTCTAATTAAAAATTCCATCCCAGATATTGCAGAACATAAATAAACAGCCGTTGAGTTCGTTATGTGTCGAAGAAATAGTTTTGTTAGTTAAATCCAATATTTATAGAAAAATATTATCATTTCAAGAAAGTTTTAAATATCTTAAAGTTATCGAGTGACATGTTTTTAGTTTAACCAAAACAGGACCCTAGTGATTCGTCATAAATTTTTATACATCATCTTGATGACACAACCGTTTCTCACAAATTACTTCAAATGTACCTAATTAAATCAATAACATTTGTATTTTTATTCGAATTTATAATAATATATTTTTTTGGAATCAATAGATTCATGTTTTGATTAAAATAAGTTATGGGACAAATTTCATATGTGTTATTTATTTGGAGGAATATTAGTGCAGAGTACTTTTATAGACATTTATTATTTATAACAGATTGACGTTTTAATTGACAGCTATTTAAAAAAAAAGAACAATATTGTACTAAGCACTTAATTTTAAGATCGTTATAATATGACGCAATACAATCTGTAAGCTTGCCTTTAAATAAAACTGACAAACTTTTTATTGCATAAAGTATACATGTTTCATGTATTAAAACAATTATATATGAACACTTTACATAAGTATGAGTAAATTTGTACAATAGGTACATAGTATGTAGAAAAAATAGAGATTCATTTATAGAGATCGTTCAATGAAACTAAACCATTGCCAGCGTAATTGTTAAATTAATGTGATGTTATAGTATTAGTTTACTACAATAATAAGAGCTAAGCAGAGTCTGCTGTCGAATAGAAATAAGGATTAGAAGACAATTAGTAACTAAAAAAAACAACGATAATATTTTCATATAATATGTAAGAGGAAGATTCACCACTAGCCTAATATTAATACTTATAGCGAAATAATGTCCGTAAACGTTAATATTTATTACCCCTAAACATCTCAGCAGTCAATGGAACTGAGCAATGGCCTGTTTCAGTGGCGTATTCCTAACAATAGAAGCACATTACAATATTTACATCGGCCGCCAATAGATACACCTGCGAATACTCGTAATATACACATCGATTATAATAATTCGTAAAACGACTAACTAATTTTCTACTGGTCGACTAGTTGTCGATTATCTTGAGGAAGTCTTCCGGCGAGATGTGAATACCGTCGACGGCGGGCGCGTCGGTGGAGTTCGGGACGGTGTTTTTGAGTTCGCCGAAAGTGTACGTGGTTCTTTTCTTGTTAGAGCGCGGTCTGGAGACGCGCGGCGACGGCAGCGACGCCTCGCAGTCCAGCGACGCGCGCTTGTTCCAGCAGAAGGGCTGCCTCGGCTCTGCACCGGCCGACATCGGCATGGCCAGCTGTAGCCGGGAGCGACTCAGCTCGTTATCACTCAGCTGACGCTTTAACTTATTCTTCCCCACCACCAACTGGAAGCCCTTCAAACTATCGCCCGGACACTTCCCGAGATCCTCACTCGCCTGTCTAGACAGTGCGCGCTTTTCCACTAAACTGTTCTGGCGAGAGGATTGGCTCCTGACTCCATCACGACTGCTGCCGGAAGAGCTGGTTGTGTTGGTAGTGCATGCGTGAGCGCCAATGTTGCCTCGCCTTAATGTTTCTATTATGTTGTAGAAGTGTTCTGGTTCGTTGGTACTACTGTTCCTAGATCTGTTCAGATTGTTGGTACTATGCCGGTGTGGGCGGATGTGGGCACGCGGGAGATGCCCGTAGCTGCTCTGACGCGAGATGCCACCAGTAGTTTGACGTCGCGGCATACTACAACTTTTCGGTACAAAAGCGTCCTGTGTCATGAGTAGATTCTCATACACGTGAGTATTATCGAGGTCCTCGTGAGTTATGAGATTCTGTCGACTCTCTGTCGTTTCTCGTTTTTGGCCCACGGAATTGCTCTTCTTGTGGCTCGATCGGACTCTCAAATCGGGTATCTTCTTCCCTAGCTTGCAATCGCTGGCGCTGCGCGGCAATAAATTCTCGTATCCGTGAGCACCGCTTTCTTGACTTGGATTTTCGATTTTAGGTATACTATTATTGTCGACGTTTCTAGAAGGATGGGCATGTTTAAAAATTTTGGAATTAGATTTAGAGAGTTCTGCAGGACAAGTTTGTTGAGGTAAACTGTCTTGACGCTTTCTATCCAGGTCGGGCTTAGATGATTTGTCGAGGACGACCTTCGTTTTATCACTTTTACAAATTTTAACACTGAATCTAAATGGAGGTTTGAAGACGACTTGCAATCTGGCCTTTTCACCAGATAGCAGGTTAGTCGCACTCTTGGACGGTCTTGTTTTTCTCGTACCCTTTGATAATTGCCTGTGAGTTCTTTCAGTTAGACCCAAAGGAATTGACTTAGATTTCGGAATAGCTGTCGGTTGGGGCGAGCTGAGGAGCCATTTTTGTACTTTAGTTAACGCTTCTGTATCTTTAGGAGGGGTGGAGGCGGAATGTTTCTGCATGGAACTATAGTCGATTGTTTCTTTCTTAACTTTAACCTTGCGTTTCTTCACTTTATTCTTATGTTTTGATAGTATGACGTGCTTTGGAGACTTTCCTTCAGAATTTGTAACAACTACTGTACTTTCTTTTGGCACTTTATGTTGTTCTGTATCTGCCTTTGGTTGGTTGCTTGGCTTCTGAAAGGAGAAAAGAATTTTGTATCTTTTTTCAAATAATTAAGGGGCCTACATAAATTTATAATAAAATGTATATGTAATGCTTACCCTTTTCTTCAAGATATGCGAGGGAGACGCTTTATCGCCTTGTTTTGTATCCTTCTTAATGCGATAGGCTCGTGTCCGGAGAGCCACTTTCTTTTTTAGGGGTACTTTGGATCTGTGAAATTCATAATATAGCAATGTTAAATATATATACAAATAAATTATTTTAGAATCTTCTAAAAACATTTCCTTGAATTTTAGAACTATGTATGTATATTGGATTTCCAAAGATTCTCATTGTGTTATAGAGAATGAAATAAGTATTTAAATACAAACTGTAATTTGTATTTTAACAGTTTGTATTTAAATACAAACTGTAATCATATAGAGTTGGATAACGAAAATTAAACGAGAAATATGCGAGTATGAACTTCCAAAAAAATCAATTTTTTTCTTAAAGAAAAGATTCGGTAAAATTTTTAATAAGAAAACACAAGACAAAAAAATATTGTATGACTAATTCACCTGACAGCAGTGTGAACTATAAGGCCCTGGTCAGCAGCATCTGGCAGGCGGACGGTTTCTGTGGTGGATGAGTGAATGATTGTAACTGATTTGATTTTCTTGGCGTGACGTCCGAAGAAACGGGTGCTAGCCACCTGAAAACACACACATTTTTATTTTTAATACGACAATTATGATGTTAATATTTTAAATACTAAACACTTGAACTAGCATACAGAATCGCATAAGTACTTATATGATGATGTATAACTAGGTAGGAGTTGTATATGTTTTATTTAAATTGTATTGAGAATGAAGCGGCTTTTCCGCGTAACAAATGATAGCTTTTATATTTCTAATAAATAACAAAAACTTAAAAACATACAGGAATCTCATCATCATCAATCATAGTTCTTACCAAAGAAAGGAAAATCTTGCTTCTTATAAATTAGCGTTTATAAAGAAAGTTTCAATCTTCTAGCCTACATTATATCACACGTATTTATGTACATATGTACCTCTTAACTAAACTAGGGTATCTTAAAATAGTAGTTATTTTATATTTTATCGTCCATTTCTATAGCAGCGTTGAGAACTCTGCAGGAGCGCTAAAGACAAAACATTATGACAATGAATTTCTAAAAAAAAAATTTTAAATATACTTTGCGTACATAGAAAAAAATATTGTTTTTTTTAAATATTAATGTATTTTTTTAACATAACATAAAATAATATAATGATAACAAATCAGTCTAAAAAGAAATAAAAAAAAAACAAAATACTATTATAAATGTAAAACCTTGTTTGTGTGTATGGCGGTAGTGTCAAGACACTAGAACGGCTACACAGATTTGGATAAAAATTTCGTACACACATAGACAATGTTAGGCCTCTAGGGATGCACCTAAACGAAGTGTAAGTTGCTAATACGAAGTAATCTATAAACTGTAAACAACACTACCCTGGGCTGTTTAAAATGAAATAAAAATAAAATAAAATAGGCAGTCTTGGGGACTGCCGACAGAAGTGAAAACTTGTAACTTTGGAATAACTGTTTTTTTAAATTTTTAAATTAATTATTTGGTTTTCTCATCCATTGGCGCTCCGAGCAATAATTATTTACATTTTGATATATAGTTAATTAATAATCAAAACATAAGATGCTGCGCATCGCTAGTCTGCGCCAGCCAGACTCCGTCGACACACGCGATATGTTAAGCCATAAGTTAAGCCGTTACCAAAAATCGATCAACACGGCTAAATAAGTTTTCACTTCAACATATCTGTCAATAATTACCAGTAAAGCGATGACAGCGAGCAGGATGAGCAGCACGGCGTACCAGTGGCGCAGCACCCAGCGCTTGAAGCCGGCGATGCTCTCGTCGGACAACAGCAGCTTGCGCAGCGTGGCCAGCGGGCCCGACGGGTCCACCTCGCGGCAGCGTTGGAACACGTCGCAGTATCTGTGGGGAAAATGGTTTAAATTTATATTATTTCTAATTTTATAAAATTATTAATACTAATTATTACTAATTAGAGAAGTTCTTTCTATATATTTGTTCATATATATATAAACATGTAGCCTAACTTATCTTACAATTTAATTAAGTACATTTATATACATACAATAATAGCAATTAATTAATTTATTATGTTAAAATATAATATTTCTAATATAGATGTTCCGTAATACTCCTTCTCCCGGAATAATACTGTAACTTGAAGGTGACCCGCGCGAGGCGCGAGCGCCGCGCTGCAGCTGCACGCCACACTCGACAAATGCTATTGCAACGCGAAGCCCGTGTCGCTTGTAATTACGCCACTCAGTTATACGTACTCGTTAATTGCTATATGTTAATTTTCTATCTTCTTAATATTTACTAGTATTCGTTTATGTATTTAACTCTTTTGTTGTATGTGCTCTTGGACTATTAATGTGTGTTATAAACTGTCTCTTCTGTGTATCGTGTTTAATAATTAATACAAACAGTTTAAAAGACTTAGTTAACGTTATTTTTCCTTCTACAACTACACACATCACCAAGTAAGCCTACAAACATATATAGGTATATTGTATAATATATAGCTTGCTTCCAAATAAAAACTTTCATCCCTATTTTACCCCCTTACAACGTCACAAACTCACAAACTTTACCTCTTTATAATATTAGTATACACTAGTTTTCCAACTTATCAGCAAGAAATCTAGTCACTACCAAAAACACTTACCCATTATAATCGTTACAGGGCGTGCCCGGCTTAGCATACATGTCGGGCACGTCGTAGGGCGCCGTGTTCCAGTGGAAGGACGAGACGCAGGGCCCGCCGGGCTTGCGGCAGCACAGCTCGCACGCGGAGCGCGCGTCGTCCTTGCGCGGCGCGCATTGGCACGACTCCAGCCCGTAAGCCAGGCAGATGGACCCGGTACACTCCTGGTGAAATGGGGAAGGATTAGTGAGTTTTATTTTATATCAATAACTAGCGACTCACCCTCGCTTCGCTCGGGTTCGTCCCTAGGTACGTTTTAACGGTAAGTATGAAATACAAATATTTAAATTAAAAAATATGCGTGTTCAACCTTCCTCTTGAATCACTCTACCTATTAAAAAATCGCATCAAAATCCGTTGAGTAGTTTTAAAGATCTAAGCATACGTAGGGACAGACAGACAGCGGGAAGCGACTTTGTTTTATACTATGTAGTGATAAACAGATAACTCACTCCCATAAAGCAGACGAGTTCCTTATCACAGCGAGTGCGGTTAGGCTTGTGGCGGCTGGCGGGGCAGGCGGCGCGCTTGCCGTCGCAGTGCGCGGCGTCGCGGCAGCCGTTGTCCGAGCGGCACTTGTCGCCGAACTTGAGAGTGCAGGATGCTGTGCAACATGGTCCCTGCAGAGAGTGTTATTTAGTGATGAGCTTGACTGTACTTGAGTACTGTTCTAATAAAAGAATCTACTTCTCTCGTTCCACCGCAAGGGATGGTATATTTTATGGTTCAATCAATATAAATAAATAAATAAATATGTCAGGACATTAACACACAACGCCATCTAGTTCCATGGTAAGAAGATGTGCATGGATATTTTTAATAAATGTGAACTTGCATAAAAAATTAACACAGATACTATAAAATATCAGGATTTCTCCTCTCCATTCAGGGCGTGCGGGTGTAAGCGGGTGAGGCGCACCCGACTGTAATACTAATTTCCATATAACAGATAAGAAACGACCTAAGGATTGACACTCGTAACTTACCACGAGATGGCACCTCTTTTAAGTTTATAACCATTCGCCGAGTAAATTGGTATTTTATCCTACAACTCACTTAGGATTGTCCAATGTTTGACAGCATTTCCGATCCGACGTAAAATCGGACGATCGACTATTGTCTGTTATGGGAATTTTTATTATTTATACTGTTATACATACCTGACTGGGGCTGCACACGCTGTGCTCAGTGAGCGTGCAGGGCTTGTAGTGCGGACGCACGGCCTGCGGGCGGCAGCACACGTCGGTGCACTCGGACGCCCAGCCGCAGTCGCACTCCTCGCCTTCCTCCACCACACCGTTACCGCAGATTGCTGGTTGCGGTTCTGTATCATTGGTTATATTGCTTGTTAATAAGATAAACTTAAACTAAGGAATAATAACAGAGTGTCATAGAACAAAACATGAAGTCAAACCATAATGATTTAAAATTTCACCGCAATAATAAAAATAGCTAACTAATTATAATGAAAAAATAAATAAATAAGCCAGTATTTATGCTACCCTTCTCTCAAGGGAAAGAACTAATAATTATAAAAAAAATAATTTTGATTTTATTATTGATATTTTGTTCTCAAAAATTGTAAATCTTATTCTTTGAAGAAAGTAAACGATGTAAATTGCAAAGTCTATATAGTACTATTTTTTTCTTTGACATTTTTTGGCGGGCTCCGTTTACATGACTGATCTTATAATAACTCTTTAAGTTTGAGAAGTTAAATTAATAAAAAATAAGTAATTTAGACTATAATATCTGTAATATTAAACCAAATACGACCTCTTGTTATATTATAAATACCATTTTAATTTCTGTTTTATATACTTAATATAACAATAACCTTATGTTTCGAGGATTACTTTTACTATTAGCTAAAAAGTATTATATACCTACGTTATCAAGAGATTTCGTAATTTATATAAATTAAGGTAATACGATATTTTAATCCTAAGATTCCTTATATTGACCCATTGACCTTTCCAGTTATATACAATTAAAACAATATCTTACCAGTGAAGCATCCCTTCGGAGATCGCGCCTTGTTGTTCAGGACAGGGTCGATGGCTCGAAGAGAGCAAGGCGAGAACTTGTTGTTATTCTTGCGATCGCCACTTGTGGCTCGAGCAAACATTATGTAGTTGCCATCTTCGCCAAAAGGTGTACACATTTCTGGATCATGCTGAGATAATATAAAGAAAAAATTAGAAATACCACTTCTCACTTGTGTTTATTATTATTTGGTAAAATCTGCGTTTGAAATAAAACTAATCATTATAAAAAGCTAAAAAATATATAACGTTAATACTACGCAATAAAATTACTTGAATACGCAACACCTGAGCAATAAAAAAGTTTTTATGTCTCACATATTTTGAGAAGCTTATGAGTACGTGACGGAAACCATGTTTACCGCATTAGCAGGCATACCATACATTGCTGAAATTCATGATAAAAGTTATGTATAAAGGTGCTCTCTGTAATTACTAAGTAAAATAAGTGCTTACTTTTTTTCTTGTTATTATTTTTAACACCGAGTACAAACAAATAATCTTTCATTCTACAAAAGCTAGACGCTGCCCGCGGCTTTGTGGATTAAAACGAGTAGATTTTAATTGAAAAATAATATTTCTTGAATGATATTAGCGCCTCCACGAGACAGTTCATGACCTGGCATCATTTGCAGGCAAATACTATAAAAGTAGCAATCCCCGGGTAATGCTGCTAGTCTTTCGGGTATTTACAATATAGTATTTATTATTCCTTTTGTTCAATTTTTATATTGTAATTTGTGTTAGAATTGTAACTTTTATGAAATAAATGTACCCATAGCATTATTAAAAAATGGCGATGATGAAAGCTTACTGGATTTAATAAGTTTCAGAAAACCAGTGAAAGAAAAATTCTTTTTTATTCCAGTCCAGACGTTCTCAACTTATGCAGAAAAAACAGACAAAACGAAAATATTAACAGAATCTATTTATATCGCTAATATAACAGAGACTCACCCTCGCTTCGCTCAGGTTCGTCCCTACATAAGTTTTGACGCTTACTATGGAATAGATTTCTTTTTTTCAATTTTTTCCGTGAATTGTTCCGGTGTTTAATAGTTATTCTGCTATTCGCGGAGAAGACAAATCCAACAAAACACAGATCATAAAAACCGGTCCAGCAGTTCTCGAGTTATAAGTGTAGTGACAAACCCGACTTTGTTTTATTATATAGATACATACTCGTACGACATACAAACATACAAAGTTTGGACAATATACTAGAGCTTGTCACACCGCGTGTGTTTTGATTATAAATTATAATACTGTGTCTATCCTGTTATTGTCAGTAACAGGATAGACACATCCTTATTCAGTTCTGTAATATAGAGAAAACGACAGATATAATATAGAGATGTACTGAGACAGCAAAGTAAAAAGTATATTACCGGCGAGCCAAAGTTGTGTCCAATCTCGTGCGCGAGCGTGACGTGCGACACGGCTGGCGGCACGTGTTTACCGTAGTTCAGCAACGTGACTATACCCGTGTTCAACGACTTCATACTGCCCCGGTAGTGCTAAAACAAATAATCCTTCAATATTAGCTACTGTACTAGCTGTCGAGTCTTGTAATGTAGTACTAATTGGCATTAAGTAATGTCGGAGGTCGGCTGTTGGGTTCTCGTGCAAAGCGATTGTACCTAATTATATGTTGCAGTTTATTATTTCATAATTTTTACATCCTTAATGATAGAGATTTTAAAGTATATGTATGTGCCCATAAAAATAATCCTATAAATCATTCGACAAAAAATAATTTTAGCTGAAAGGAAGAAAGTCTGCTCTGTACCTACTTAAATAAGTCCATATACAATATATACATATTATAACTTAATTATCAAAAAGAAATAATAAAATCGAAATTATTTGGTAGCTTAATGACTTTTACTTTGTCCAAAATTTTCGGTAGTTATCAGTAATAACCGCATTATTTACCACCTATATAATATATAATGTACATAATTATAAATATGCGTCTTGATCAATTTTAAAATTGGTTTCTGTTGTAAAATAATAATATTATATTGTATACATTTTCGATTACTCCATAGTTCCACATTTAGTTCATATTATAATTATTAAATATTATATAATATAATGTTTAAAGTTGGCGTCAGTCAGTTAATATTTTGAATATTCATTAAAACTTTTCGTAACTATGCAGAGGAAGCATGTGTCGCAAAACACATTCAACTATTATAATTTATATGGAATAAAAAATAGGTATTGTAATAATTAAAATCATATATGTAGATCTTGGTATATAAAAAAATTATAAAACGTATTTTAGTCAAATATGACTTTTTTGATGAAAATCCACTAGTAGTAGATATTTTTAACGGAATAATGACAAGAAATAGTGCAATGAAAACAAACATACGCCATTTTTTTCGCAGACTCCACCAGCGTTCTTCAAATCTCCAGTCCAAGCCAGACCAAGGGTGCCCATTTCGAAATCGCGGTATGTGAACATGTACGCAAGGCAAAATGCATCATAGTCTTCCTCTGAAAATATTATTGTTATAAAATTAGCTGATTGCAGACTAAATATATAATTAAAATCGTAATAGGACCTTTTTGGACATAATAAAAGTTTAAAACCTTCTAATCTAGATTTATTAAAAAGATTTTTATTCATTACCACATACAATTAGATAAAAAGGCGCTCCGTCCCATTTCTAAACTTTATTAGGGACGTGCGGTGAAGACCAAAATTATAATTACCTGAAAAAAGTTCCAAATACTTTTCTACACCATAATTGTTAGGAAACCTGTAGGCGGGGTCTTTGAGTGCGTCTAGCGTGTGAACTTTAATCCTCTTAATCATAAATGTTATGTTATCCGGTTTTCCATCTTGATTAAAGTCTGAAATAAGCAAAATAATATTTTTATGTACTTATAAGTTACAACTTAGATTTTGACCTTGTACCTACATTTAATTTATTATTGAGAACTATAAAATAAATTAAACGAATAATTTTATTCTTACCTGTAACTTTATATATAGCATTAACTTTCTGGACGTGACGAGTCATGACTTCTATACACGCTTCTTCAGATCCATATCTTTGATAAAACATATGATCAGCCTGCAAATAGACTAGGCAAGTGGTCTTCCTCGGGTCTACGGTCGCTCTTTTATTGACATGTCGTCCATCATCGCTAGCATTCGCGGAGAGAACAGTGTATCCTACCGGCTCCTTCTTCACTACATCTTTACTGACTGTTACAACACCAGCCTTCGTTTTTATCACTTCAACATGCGTCTTTGGCTTCGGTCTAGATTCTTCCGAATCGAGTCGCACTTTCGTTATGAGGTTACTTTTATCGATTTTAGTTTTTGGTTTTCTCGTACTTAACTTATCAAACGGATCACTATTACTCGTGTACGGCACATCTAAGTCTAAAGGTAGTTCTGGATTCTTCTTTGGCTCATCGTCCTGCATTTCGTCTTCGGGAAGCCATCGCTTTTTTCTTCTGTTTATTTCACTATGTAAATCTTCTGTGTTATTATTATTTAAAAGAACCTCTTTAACAGCAACTTGGTCAGTAAAGTTAAATAATTCCCCTTTATATCCAAGTTTGCCTTTAACGTGCAGCAAATGTGAAGCACAGTGTGGAGTATCACTATTGGTATGAGGATGATCTACATCTGATCTTCTATAGATAACACTGTGCATAGATGGGTGATCTATGTCGTATCGGGAAAGAGGTTCAACGTAATATTCTTCGCTAGGTGTCCATATCGTTCCGTCAAACAGACCATCTGCAGTAATGACACCGTACACGTGGGAAGAATCGTCATCTGAAAAAAGTATATTTTGTTTAAAAGTCATTTAATTTTTATGAACTATTAAATATTAAAACTATTTATAAACAAAAAAAACGGATCGTTAATATAATGGAAATCATAAAAACCAATCGTCGAGAAATCAATATGGAGATGAAATAATGCCGCTCACTATAACGGAGTACCTCTTAGAGACGCAATCAACTAAGAGACGTCCAAATAAATGGGCTATTATATTTTATGCAAACAAATTCAAGGTGCAAAGAGCCTCTGGACTCTCAATGAATTAAAATCACAACTTGCATTCGTAGTGGGAAAGATGAAAACAGCTCATAAATAACCTAAATTGCTACTCTTCCATTCCCTCTGTCATTTATTTTATTGATAAAGCGGTGTTTGAAAGTTGCTTAGAAATGGAAACGATTTATGAAAAATAAAAGTTGTCAGCTGTGAGATTTAAATATATGTACTTAAAAGTTAAATACTGCTTATATCATATCTTACAACACGCAATTTATATACCAAATGGTTTCTACTGAAATATTACGTAAATTATGTTTTTTTTTTGGTATTTTAACTATTCATAAATACATATATGATCCATTATTTACCTATTATGGTATTAATGTTTATTATATTGTAGAAGATATCGATATTTTGTATGACATGTTACTTGTAAGTGCTTATAAAGTAGACTGTAGTCGTTTTATGGGATTAAAACTTTGAATAATTTATAAGTCATGGAAATATAGTCGACCTACATTTAAAGGTTATTTACTATGTACGGTTTGTTTTATGTTGTCTTTCTATATCTTTCTATTTTTAAATTGATAAAAATAATAATTCCTATTGCAATAAAATTCTGTCTTTTTTTTGCTTTTTAGGCTAATAGTTTTCCCAGAATTTGTATATATACATTTACTGGGTACTTTAGAAAATATAGAATCATCAGAATATAAAACATCTTTATACCATACGTATAGTAAAAAGTCGGTCAAGTGCGAGTCGAATTCGCACACGAACGGTTCCGTACCAGTACATGTACTTTTTCGATACATATAATAAAATTGTAACTAAACCAGAATCTGTACATTAAATATTTTTTTGGAAAATCTTATTGAAATAGACATTATTATCGATACAGAGGTTTGAAAAAATAAATTTTTGTTACCTATAATATTAGTGTATTTAAGAAAATTAATTTGTATAGAGTGAAAGATAAAAGGTATTGTAAGTTAATAAGCTTCGACTCGCACGTATGCTGTATATAAATGTTTATGTATATTTAAATGAGTTGTATGTTACGCCGCCAAAGACAAGCAAAGTCAAACTCTCAAGAAGCATACTCCATTAAACTTGTGAACTAATTTCATCAAAATTCACTTTGTCTCGAATGTACCAGATGGGTCGCACCTCGTAATTTCGTTTTATTAAGTTTGTAACAGAATATTGAAGTTTCTTCTCGTCCTTAATTTATTATCGCGACAGCCCCGAAATATGGAAGGGGTGAGATTTAAACTGGTATTTCAAGTTAATTATAAAGAATTATTTTACGTTTCCCTAATAAAGGAAAATTGCTTCTTAACTCTCGCATTGTGGAACTTAGAAGCGCAATTTCATATGTCGTATAAAATGCTGATAGAGATGATATGTTGTTTATATTAAAATGAAAATGTATTAGGATGTATACGAGTGAGCAGGCAAATAAAGGGCAGTATCGATATCACACGGTTAAATGATGGCATTTTCAACTAACGAGGTTTGATGCTAAATTTATCATAAATCATGCTTAATTACTTCGAGGCGCACCCACCACATACATCTAATCAACTAATCAACACATACGAATATATTCTAATCAAACTGTAAATTGGGGTAATATGTCGTGTCTTGAATAATACATGACCGTTCAAGCACTGCTACGTGGAATTCTCTATCACAACAATAAATATTTAATATTTTTACGTATGCACATATAAATTAAATACAAATATCATGATTAAATTTGGATGATCTTAATTCGACGGTAAAATATTTTCTATTTCCTATTTTATATAAACTACCTGCCTTACGGTGAAGGAAAACATCGTGAGGAAACTTGCATGTCTGAGAGAACCTAGAAAGTTTTCGAAAGACACGTGAAGTCCGCCAACCCGCACTTGGCCAGCGTGGTGGACTATGGACTGATCCCCCTCGTATTGAAGGGAGGCTCGTGCACAGCAGTGGGACGTTAAAAAGGGCTGAATACATACATAAACTACCCATTTCTATTAGAAAAGAAACGAAAAATATCTTGGCAGAGCAAAAAAATCAAGACAACTTGTTGATCTTCAATAATGAGAATGCTTGAATGAAAGTATTTAAAGCTACTTTTAGTTTGGAAATAACTGATAATTAAAAACGGCTCTAAACTATTATAACGTCTATCAACACGCACCTAGTACTAATAGTCTACCTATATAGGGTATATAGGGTATAGGGTCAGCCATGTTTCAAATGTTATAAAATATATATTACATCATATATTTTATAACATTTGAAACATGGCTGACCCTAACAACTTCCTTAGATCAAACCACCGTGAATACCTATAAAACACCCTGAGGCTTCAGAAACAAAACAAGTACGAAAAGCTAAGTTTATATTTTGTTTTAAGGTAAAGTATAAGAAGACTAAGAAAGTTTAAAAAATATCTATGAAAGTGTATAATTTACAATAAGAACATATTATGATTATCGGTTAAAGTTTAAGCATGTAAAGCAAAGTTAGTGAGCAAGGTTCCTTATTTAATGAATACCAGGAAGTTTTTAACTCAGTTAATTATGTTAGCATAAATAAATCGCTGCTTTTAATCTAGGGTTCCGTTGCCTTTTGATTCATCGCTGTGATTAAATTAACACGTAGGGGTGCCACTATTGCCACTCCTCCTTATGATAACAAGTTTAATTTGGAAAATTTTGGACCGATCGATATATTATGGACGTTTACAATATAAACACGTATAATATAAAAGAATACGTTCAGTGTAATAATAGTTACACAGTACATCTGTACAATCGTATTATTTTTGCAAAATTAATATATTTTAGTGGATACAGGATTTGATTTTTATTAACACCTCCAGGTAAATTTCTAAGAAATTAATTTGTTAAGAAACCTATTGTTAACTGTAACGCCGGCGTGTCCGCGGTCGTGGAGGGATTACATATTATTTGAGAATTTTCAGAAATATACCTTCTAATTTTCCAGAATAAACAAGTGCTGTGTTGTAGTCGATGGGTCCAGCCGAAGAGTGAAACTGCACGCCCTCCGCAAAAACAGAGCTCGGGTCTGGCTGCAGTAGTAGTCGAAATTCCCTGAAATAAAGAGGTAAGTTAGCATAACAAATAAGAGCCATTCCATTACACGAGTACTATCGCACATCGTCTGGCGAACTTGTAGCTTTAATACTATGCCTAAATGCAGGATTCCCGCAGAGATAATAATTTATAATACTAATTGAAATGGTAGTAGGATCATTTTATACCAATCTTGATTACAATTTAAAACTATGGAGTGTTTTTAGTTTTTTTAAATGATATTTCACTTAATGACTATAGTAGTTATTAGTATCATTATGAATTAGCCACGTATTATTTAAAACCTTAATATTGCATTTATTTTTTAAGTATAAATGAAAAAAAAATCTCACTTTTATTTACTATATTTTCCTTATTTTCTTTAGTTCCAGTATCTGAAAACTTATATGAATTCTCTTAACTGCCGTTGATCCTTCTGGAACAACTTCAGGAAACTTTAATCAAAATCTTACATCGATGCGAAACTTCTAGAACATATTTCAAGGTGCAGAAGGCATTCTCGCAGTCATTTTACAAGAAAAGTTCGTGTGTGTAAGACTTAGGAAATCGGTGGGCCATCATAAAGTGCTCACGTCTCTGCGCTATATCAGTGTTATGTAGGTAGGAATACGTTGATTTATTGATGTTATAAAGCTGACCTATATTTTAGCACTTAGGTTCCTTGAAGCGTCTAAGTAGGTAGATCTTTACAATGTATTTTAAAATGTAACTGAGAAATATTTTACTCTTCGTTTTATATATTATCCTAAAAAAAGGTATTTAATAATAGTTTATTATAGAGTACAACCCCTTTAGTGTTATTGTATAGTGTAGTTGTCTTGCGATATGATAATAGCACCCTAATTTTAATCAAATTAGTTCTATTCATCAAAGATTACCTCAGAAGATCTTTACTCAAGTGCGGGTGATAGGTGAGTAGCTTCTAATTATTCATAAGGAAACTTTAGCCGTGTATAAAGTCGAGACCGTAAGCACCTACGTGTGAGTTAAAGCTTTAAAGCTTAAAAAATGAAGAGTTTTATAGTTTTTATTATTTCTGCAAAGCTCGTTTGCTTTTAAAAGGTTTATTCTTTTATCTTTTTTATATGTTTATATTACGTTGAAAGCAACTTGTTTTTTAAACGTCAACGCAAAATATAATCTGCGGATCCACCATTTCATAAATTCACTTAGAATACCTACCTAATATCATTATTTTATTTTGTAGACATAACATTCTGTAAATGAAAGCATGCTAAATTTTAATAAGAGGATAAATATTTTGAGTAAATAACGGCTTTTTGTTATAAATGCTTTACATATGATTTCTTTGTGTTCAAGTTGTAATCACGAATAAGTAGCGCTAATTAAAAATTATTCATAAAGCAACTTCGACAATGTGTAAAGTAAAACTACTTGCTGCCGTAAAGTAGCCACGTGCAAGCTTTATATCACTTTATGTGCCTGAATTATAGCTGCTACACCCTGTCTACATTGTATAGCTTTATGTTACCTGTACTAATCATTGGCCAGATGTAATAGTGATTTAGAATTTAATATAAACAAAACTTTGATTACTTAGTTTACAAAAGATAGGTAAAATTATTATTTATATGTGTACTAGCATTGCCCGCGGCTCCGCCCGCGTTCAGATGACCAAAAACCAAATTCTTAGGTTTTACACATTAGTATACTCTTACTATGCAGTTTTTGTGTTTTTGTATTTTTTCTCAGAAATGAGATATTTTCCCGCGTTAAAAAGTATCCTATAGATTGATCCGAATAACCAGCTATCATCATACCAAATTTCATCAAAATCTGTCCAGTGGTTTTCTCGTGATGCGGTAACAGACAGACAAACAGACAGACAGACGGACGGACGGATGGACGGACGGACAGACAGACAGACAAAAATTCTAAAAACTGTAGATTCGGACTCTGTATCGATAATAATGTCTATTTCACTTAGATTTTCCAAAAAATATTTAATGTACAGATTCCACTTAGTTACAATTTTATTATATGTATAGATTAAATCCTTTTTCTTTTATTTCCTTTTTATTTCAATTTTGTTTCATTATGGGTGTTGTCACGGAGTGGGGAAGTTGGTGGGGCTACGTAAAGAAGTCGGTACTGAGCTTAATTTATCTCCTTTAGTATTGGACTTCCGTCCCACTGGACTACGAGAGTAAAAAGAATAGAGATTGCACTCGTGCTTCGGAACACGCACACTTTTATTATCTCCCGGGCAGACTGCTCGTCCCGATTTTAATGGTTGCTGTGGCCTGTGACCGGACATTGGTAACAGGACTTTCATTTTCACAGTGATTAAACCGGCTTTAGGTAAAATACAAAAGTAATTAAGGATACGAGAGTAATTTAGGATAAAGAGAAGTAAGTATAAGTTATATAAGAATGGAATTTGAAAAAGTACTGCGAAGAAACAGATTCGCGAAAACTATATGTAGGTATGTAACTAATGCGGAAGATAATTTTGTGAATTCAATTGTTATTGCTTTTTTTGGTTAAGGTTTTTATAAATTTATAAACACAATCTGCTTCGTACGAGACAGTAAATTATAAATTAACACGCGACGGGCACTGAGCAATTGTACCAACGATAAAAACAAAGTAAACGAATATATGTGTGAGTAAAGCCTTTTCGGATTTATCAAAAACAAATATTTTAAATTTGAATAGTATTACGAAAAATAAGCAAAATAAAACTTATTTAAATAAAACATTTAAGAAATATTTACAACATACATACCAGTACCTAATTTCATATAATATTTCAAGATAAAATTATCTGTGTAGTTTTTATGACCCTCATTCCTTTCCCCGTACAGCAGTAGATACAAAAAATTGCAGCGCTCCCAAACAACGCTTGTGATGCAAATGCATGCAAAATTGCAGTGTCCAGTTAAACTTTGTTTAAATCAAATAATATGAGAACAGTAATAATATATTTACTTTTGAAAGTTTATATAATAGTACCTGGGCCACCGAGCTTCGCTCGGAGTTTTTGGTCAAAAGTACAATTTTCTTTAAGAAAAAACTTGAATAAATAAAAAAAAACAAATATAAATTATACCTCTGTATCCGACCGCTATTCGAACCCGGACACCTATGATTGTCAATTTTGCGCCTTGGCCGCTTCAACATGATGCTTATGCCCGAGCGGACGCAATTATCGAACATATTTTGCGTGGAATAATGCGAAAGAAAACCGCATGAAAATTCGAAGACACGCGTTTTCTCAGACATAAGACTAACCTAGATCGATTTATCGCCTCTGAAACCCCCTGTATACTAAATTTCATGAAACTCGTTGGAGCCGTTTCCGAGGTTCAGATTATATATATATATACAAGTTCAGATTATAAATATATATATATATATATATATATATATATATATATATATAATATATATATATATATATTACAAGAATTGCTCGTTTAAAGATATAAGATAATTGTGATTTCTAAACTTTTTATATAGTATTATACTCCATGTATCTTTCAGCAAACGAACGATATTCTATTGACTGATATACAAGAGACTTAACAAATGTAAGTATAAGTATATGAACGCAATGTTAGTGCCACTACTACCTACATTACGAGCAACTTTAGATTTTACTCTCATGTCATTTCATTGTGTAGAAAAGAGCGTAGGCACCATTGCATATGAAGAGGCAATAAGTAGCAGAGGGAACTGGTAATACAATAAATGTTTACAATTGAGGCGAATGATGGGGATTGGTCGGCATCAAAAGCGGCTCTAACGAGAGCTATGTAATGACGTTACTAGATCCCCACTTGTTCAGTCTAACTTCGTTATAGGAAAACTTGTGACTCAATACTGCATCCCTCTTCGCAGTTCATGATATATTGTGCCGGGACTGTGAAAATTAAAAACGTCGAGCTCCCTTTGTGATACCAAATATCGTTGAAAGTTTGAAGTGACTACCGTCAAGTATTGAACCGGATACAAATTGCATAGAAACTCGAAATCAATATCCATAGGTATAATAATAAAAAACAAAATCTTTTTTATATGTCTAAGTATATACAATTGTTTATCTATACATATAATAAAATTTTAACTGAATCGAACCTGTAGATCAAATATTTTTTGGAAAATCTTATTGAAATAGACATTATTATCGATACAGAGGCCGAATCTATTAATTTTAGAATTTTTGTCTGTCTGTCTGTGACCGCATCACAGAAAAACCACTGGAAGGATTTTGATGAAATTTGGTATGATGGTATGTGGTTATCCGAGTCAATATATAGGATACTTTTTACTGTGGGAAAATCTCATATCTAAGAAATCTAAACTAAACGTAAATAAAAAGATAAAGCGCAAAGTAATCGAAAAAAAATATGTCACGTCGTAAAAGTAGTGGACGGGTGGTAAAAGTAGTAGATGCCTATGATATCTAGTAATTACCACTGTTCATAAATGTCTCCAAATAGAGCCTAAAGCAACTACTAACACGTTGTCACGTATTGGAAATTGTGTTTATTCGTGACTTTAAAACCTAAATTTTGAGGAAACGTGACAATTGAAAGCTGGTACATAATTTGTTCGTTAGAGAAATGATCTTATGAAATTATCGTTTATACTTTTATGGCCGTTGTAACAATATTCGATTATTTAAATCTATTTGATTTAAAATAGAAATAAAATCATGAATATGAATTGTACACCTTTTAATGTCACTACTTTCTCATTTTTTATTCCAATCTGTACCAAACGCAATTTATAAAAAAAAGGTCTTAATCAAAAATGTAAAAGCATAAAAAGGATCTGTGTGTATATATTTGTGGCTACACTTTATTATCACTAGCGGCTCACCCTCGCTTCGCTCAAGTTCGTCCCTAGCTTGCTTCCTAATACAAACTTTCATCCCCATTTTCACACCCTCAGAGAAGATTTCCGGGATAAAAAGTATCCTATATCCTTTCCAGACTCTCAAACTATCTTCTTACCAAATTTCATCTAAA